CATCGAGTGGTAGCCACCTACACAACCCAACCAGGATCAGAGACAAACTGCAACCGAGGTACATGCCCTTAGTGGGAACCGAACCCGGGTCTCTCTGGACCGCAGGCCGACACTCTAACCACTGAGCCAAACCGGTCAGGGTCCTCAGGGGACATTATAAAACAGGGGCTGAGCCCTGGCCGGTTTAGCTCAGCGGTTAGAGTGTCGGCCTGAGGTCCAGAGAGACCCGGGTTCGGTTCTCGCTAAGGGCATGTACCTCGGTTGTAGTTTGTCCCCGGCCCTGGTTGGGTCGTGCAGGTGGCGACAACTCGATGTGTCCCTTTCACGTCAATGTTTCTCTCTCTCGTTCTCTCTTCCTCGCTCTCCCTCCCACTCTACCTGAACAAAACATGTAAAAAATGTCCTCGGGTGAGGATAAGAAAAAAAAAAAACAAAGACAAAAAAAACGGGGGCTGAGGTAGGGGATGGATAGGGACCAAAGATGGTTCCCGATCACGTGTGTGAGGGAGTCCTTTGAGGCAGTAGAAGAGTCGGAGCAGGAGTAGGAGGTTCAGGATAGGGTGTGGAGCCCGCAGAAGGGGCTGGAGGAGGAGGTCCTGCTGGAGAGACTGAAGGAGGAGGTGGTGGAGCAAATTGTCTGGGTCAACGGGGGTGAAAGGAGAAGTTAGCCTGTTGTCTTCAGAGGGAGTTTTGGAAGGATTAGAGTGGAGTAAGAGGATTTGGGTGGGAGAGCAAGAATTGCATAAAGAGGGGTATGTTCTGAGTATTAAAAAGGCATGAATGTAAGGAACCCCAGACCATTTTCCTTGCCTTCGACAGAAATTGTCTAGGTCATTGAGAATGTCGAAAGTGCCGTTCTGAGGCTATGGTGACCCATTGTCTAATTTGTGTTGAGGCCACACAGTGTTGCAGTAAAAAATGAGTCACTTGGGCCCTGGCTGGTTTGGCTCAGCGGTTAAAGTGTCAGCCCACAGACCAAAGAGTTGTGGGTTCCATTCTGGTCAAGGGCACATTCCTCGGTTGTGGTTTGGTCCCCAACCCTGGTAGGGGTTGTGTGAGAGGCAATTGGTTGATGTGTCTCTCTCACATCGATGTTTCTCTCTCTCTCTCTCTCACTCTCTCTCTCTCTCTCTTTCTCCTTCCCTTGCACTCTATCTGAAGATAAATGGAAAAAAATATCCTGAGGTAAGGATTAAAAAAAAAAAAATGAGTTGCTTGGGACATAGTCCTGAGTGAGCCCTAGCGTCTGCAGATTTTTTAGAAGACATCCTGGACAAGGGACAGAAGATTGAGCGTTTCCCATGTTGCGGTGTGAGATGTCGCAGCCTAGCAGTCTGATGGATACACTAGTAGAAGAAGAAAGCGTCCCCCCCTTCCCCGCTAGAGTAAAGAGATGTGCAACTCACCTATATCAGGCGTCCCTAGATATATGGGGAGCTGAGGGAACCTGGTCCCTGAGGAGTGTGTCCCAACCAGTGCTGGATTTCGGGAGGAATGATCACCCAGGAGTGACTGAGAGATCTGGCTCTCACAACAGGACAGCCCGGAGAATCAGATTGGTAGACAAAAACACTCACCAGTGAATTAGTGTCCAGTGTCAATGCTCGATCAGCAGGAAAGATTGGAAGTCTGGTATCCAGCTGAGAATGTGATCGATCCCAGTCTGAAAGGAGGCCTGGAGGACTCTGGGGACCTGTGGTTGCCCCCTATGAGGGATCCTCACAGACCTCCCGGGTTTCAGCACCAAATAAAAGGTCTGAGCCAGCAGGAGATCACATCTACAACGCAAGGCCAACGTAGAGCAAAACAATTTTATTGCATGCGTCTGGGAGCAGGCAGGCTGAGCCTGAAAAAGGGGGCAGCCTCGAATAACAGTTGGGGTGTAGGTTATATACTCTGTTTCTAGCTTCCTGCAATTCCTGCTGACGTACTCTGCCTGTCCCATTGTCCACTTTGCAGTTGGACTGGTCTGGTATCTCGTCCTGCATCTGCTGGGTGATTCATTGTCTTTCAGATAATCTGATCATCTGTACTGAACAGAAAGCCAAGCAAAGGTAAATCCATACTTAACAGAAGGCTGAGCAAAGGTCATGCAAGCAATACATTTTTTTTTTTTTGCATTTATCTTCAGATATAGCAGGAGGGAGAAAGGGAGGAAGAGAGAGAGAGAAACATCGATGCGAGAGAGACACATTGACTGGTCGCCACCCACACGACCCCAACCGGGGCCGGAAACAAACGGCAACCAAGGTACATGCCCTTAGCGGGAACCGGACCCGGGACTCTCCGATCCACGAGCTGATGCTCTAACGGCTGAGCCAAGCCGGCCAGGGCAGCAATGCATTTTTTTTTTTTTTTTTGGTACGTGCACCTAGTGGGAACCAAACCCGGGACTCTCTGGTCCACAGGCCGACTCTCCAACCGCTGAGCCAAACCGGCCAGGGCTAAGCAATGCATTTTTGACAGTTTCCACTTTTGCAAGCTTTTACCTTTACCCTTGGAAACATTACTAACACTTTCAAATATGACCCTAACTTCTCATTCTGTTCTGTTCTGTTCTGCTCTGTTCTATTCTTTCTATTCCAAAAAAACTATTGCTAACCCATGAAATTGATTTCAGGACCTAAACCGCGTGACCATAGTTTGAAATGTTCGCTTTAACCATCAGTCTTTTGCTTCCTTTACTCCTTGCCTTTGGAGGATGCTGAGCTCCAATAATCAGAGAATCACGTGTAACCTTCAAAAGGGTATTGTTTATTTTGACATTTCTGTGTTTCAGGGCCAAAATCATTTGCAGGACTTGATTTGAATTTTTTGGTTTGGTTCAACCAGGTTTCTCTTGTTCTTCTTCCAAAGCCCCTAGTCAGACTGGGGGAAGAGATAGTGTGTGAGGTCGGGTCTAGATTGTGGAGCTTTTATAACAGAGACAGACGATTTTTATTGGAGAGAGAACTAATTCAAGATGAACTTTAGGAAGGTCAACCTGTCAGTACTGCACTGCGTAGGGAGAAGTGGAAGGACTGGGAGCTGGAGGGGAAGCCCATTAGGGAGGTGGTGGGGATTGAAGTCCCAAGGTGCTGTGGAAGGCATGGAAGCTGGCGGGATCAGGTGTAGAGAGAATGAGATTTGAGGATACAGTAGACCTGGTAAAGCAGGAGTAAAAATAGCTAAGATTTGCCCACCAGGTGTGGCTCAGTTGATTGGGGCTTCCTTCCATTCACCAAAAGGTTGCAGGTTTGATTTTGCCAAATTGATCTCTAAAAAATCAATTAAAAACATGGTTAAAAAAGTTTTTTTAAGTATTAAATATGGCCCTGGATGGTTTGGCTCAGCAGTTAGAGCGTCCGCCCGGGACCAGAGAGTCCCGGGTTCAGTTCCCGCTAAGGGAACGTACCTCGGTTGCTGTTTGTCCACGGCCTTGGTTGGGGTTGTGTGGGTGGCAGCCACTTGATGTGTCTCTCACATCAGATGTTTCTCTCTCCCTCTTCCTTTCTCCCTCCCACTCTAGCTGAAGACAAATGAAAAGAATGTCCTCAGGTGAGGATAAAAAAAAAAAAAAGTGCTCTGACCGGTTTGGCTCAGCGGTTAGAGTGTTGGCCTGCGGTCCAGAGAGACCTGGGTTCGGTTCCCGCTAAGGGCATGTGCCTCAGTTGCGGTTTGTCCCCAGCCCTGGTTGGGTCCTGCAGGGGGCAGCCACTCAATGTGTCCCTTTCACGTCGATGTTTCTCTCTCTCTCCTTCCCACTCTATCTGAATAAAAAATGGAAAAATGGCCCTGGCCGATTTGGCTCAGTGGTTGGAATGTTGGCCTATGGACCAGAGAGTCCCGGGTTCGGTTGCCGCTAGGGGCACGTACCAAAAAAAATGGAAAAATGTCCTCGGGTGGGGATGAATTTTTAAAAAGTTATTAAATATATTAAATATAAAGTAGCACTCCCCTCGACTAGACCCTTTAGTCCTGCACTACAAAGCACCCCCAGAGCTACAGTGGGAGCTGCTCCCTGGAGGGTCCACAGAGCACCATGCGGGCTGATTGTCCAACAGAAACATTCACGTACATATAATGTTGGCACAACTTCATAATATAAAACTAAAAAAAGCCAAATGCCCATCTATAGAATATTAGTTTGATTAATTGTGAAATAATCATGCATTAAAAGAGGAACTCTGGCCCTGGCTAGTGTGGCTCAGCAGTTAGTGTCAGCCTGTGGACTGAAGGGTCTTGGGTTTGATCTTCATTGAAGGGCACAAACCTGGGTTGCAGGTTTGATCCCAGGCCCCAATCAGGGTTGTGCGGGAGGCAACCAATCAATGTGTCTCACATCAATCTCTCTCTCTCCCTCCCTTCCACTCTTTCTAAAAAAAAAAGAGGAACTCTGTATTCTTGTGGTTCTCAGTGCACACAAGTCAGGCAGGCTGCATTCTCAGCAAAGGTAGCTAGGCAGGTAGATGCAGTAATATAGGAATGGTGGGTGGTGGGTGGTGGAAGGGTAGCTGGTAGATGGTGCGGTTGAGTGTTATTTAGTATGTGTCAGGGACCCTGGCTCCTCTTGGCCTGGGAGCTCCCAGGGGCAGGGTCTTCTGCCTAAAATGTTAGCTCCAGGGAGTATGAGTATGGGGAAGGGGCTGCAGACTGTGGGACACAAGGGCTGGACCTGAAGCTCTGTTTACACAAGCTCAGGGTCCTCTTCAAATGGCTCAGAATTATAGTCTTTGGCCTCACTGCCCACCCCCTCCCTGGCACTGCCCCTGCTGTCCGGGGCTTCACCTACATTCCTTCTCTACCAGCCATGTGGCAGGCCTGTCCAGGCGTTAGGTTTCTCCCTCTCTCCCTCACCCTCAGTTGTCCTTAGTTGTCTCATAAAAAGTTGTATTTTAACTGCTTTTCCTCAGAACAAGTGAAAGATAAATAAATAAATGAACCATGATAACCTCAGAAAAAATGTCACATGATTTCAGTGAAACCACTGCCTAACAACCCATCTGTGGGTGACGATGGGGAGGAACAAGAAAACAAACTCCCGTGTATTTCCGGTCTGGCCCAGCCGAAGTCCAGGAACAGACAGGGAGGAGAGAGGTTGGCCTCCTTTCCAAGGTAAGAGCTGGGGACTGGCAGGGGTAGGAGAGCTGCTCCACCAAGATGTGGGAGTCCAACAGGGGCTTCCTTATCTGGAACAGGGCAGCAGGCTTAGCTTCAGAGAATGGGGTCCTCAGCCACGGGAGGCCTAGATAGAGCAGGGAAATGATTTGCATGCAGGAATCATATCTTCCTCCTAAAAGGGGCAACAGAGGACAAAGGATGAGGGTAAGGGTTAGCCGAGACATCCGGGCCTTGAAATGTGTGTCTTTGAATTGGCTGAGGTACAGAGAGTGTCAGTGGGTCAAGGACCCCAGCTGCTCCTTTCTCTGCTCCCAGAACTCCCTGGGTTGGCCCAACCTTCCCACCCCACTGTCACCTGCCAGAGGATCAACCCCTTCAGGTCCTCCCCAGGCTTGTCCTGTGGCAGGTTCTTAGGACCCATTGGTCCTGCTGGGAGCAGTGAATTGGGAGAGGAGGGGTGTCAGGAATTTTTTTTTTTTTTTTAATCCTCACTGGAGGATATTTTTCTATTTATCTTCAGATAGAGTGAAAAAGAGGGAGGGAGAGAGAGAGAGAGAAACCAGCCAGGGCGTGTCAGGAATTCTGAGCAGCCAGATGAAATAGCCGGATGGACAGGGAAGGAGGGGAGGGGCTGCATGTGACCCAGGGAGTAGAGGAGAGGGCCCCAGGACCCAAGCCTGAGTTTTCTTTTTTTAATCTTCACCCAAGGATATTTTTTCTTTTTTTAAAATTTTATTTAATTAATTGATTATTTTTTATCCTCACTCAAGGACATTTTTGCATTTATCTTCAGATAGAGCAGGAGGGAGAGAGGGAGGGAGAGAGAGAGAGAAACATCGATGTGAGAGAGACACATCGACACTGCCACCCACATGACCCCAACTGGGCTGGGGACAAACTGCAACCGAGGTATGTGCCCTTAGCAGGAACCAAACCCAGGTCTCTCTGGTCTGTGGGCCGACTCTCTAACTCGCAAACCGGCCAGGGCTATTTTTATTTAAAAAAAATTTTTTCTTCATTGATTTTAGAGAGAGAGGGAGAGAGATAGAAACATCGATGAGAGAGAACATCAACTGGCTGCCTCCTGCATGCCCCCAACTGGGGATTGGGCCCACAACCTGGGTGTGTGTCGCGACAGAGAATCGAACCAGTGACCTCTTGGTGCATGGGTCTTTGCTCAATCACTGAGCCACACTGGCTGGGCTATTTTTTCTATTCAACTACAGACAGAGTGGGAGAGAGGGAGAGAAAGAATAATATCTACGTGAGAGGGACCATCGATTGGCTGCCTCCCGCATAACCCCAACCAGGGCCAGGGACAAACTGCAACTGAGGTACATGCCCTTGACCAAAATCAAACCTGCGACTCGTTGGTCCTCGGGCTGATGCTCTTACCACTGAGTCAAACCAGCCAGGGCCAAGCCTGGGTTTTCAAGGTATGGGGGGCAGGCTGCAGCTGGAGGGTGTTGAAGAGGATGGGCAAGAGGTGGCACAAAGGAGAGAAGCCTGGGCAGGTGGCCACAGGAGCTCCCTCAGAGAACAGTTTCCCAAGGTGGGTAAGGAGACAGGAAGCCATGAGGGATGACCCTAGGGGAAGTGGTCACTGTCCATAGGCCCCAAGGGACCCTGGAGTCCAGACAGAGTGGTAGTCTAAAAGAGGGGAGGACAGGAGCAGGACAGCCACTGCTGAGCCGGGTGAGGCGGGACAGGCTGATCTTCCTCCCAGCTCCAGCCATCTGCTGCCACCTCCCCTCCAGGCCAGGCAGAGCAAGAATGTGGGACAGGTGGAGAGCAGCCTCTGTGAGGGTCCCTGGTGTTTTCAGGCCTGGGGACAGCAAGAGGCCCTGTGGCAAGGGGCTGAGGAAGGTGGCCCCATCAGGGCTGGGAGCCCAGAGGCAATGGTGGGGGGATAGGAGACTCCTGAGCCTGAGGCAGAGCTGGGCCCTGGGACCTCCACAGATCTCCAGAGAATGGGCCTGGGCTCCAGGGCAATTAACCCTCTTGTCCAGGTTATCCCCTCTAGGCAGGATTCCTGTGAGGTTGGGACCTGGCCTCTGCCTTGGAGGAGCAGATCTCAGAGGCTCTCGGGGAATTGGAGTGTGTGGGAAGATGACTTGAGGTGTTCTCTCCACAGGCTTGGGCTCTGATACCTTGAGAAGATGGTGGAACCAAAAGATCCCAAGCTCAGCCTCATGGTGGTGAGTCAGGATATACCCACATCGCAATCCACAATCTGGTCATTTCCCCTGTTGATAGGGTGTACCCCCTACCAGGGGGCCCACTGCTTCTCCCTGGGCTGAGACTCCAGAACACATGAGATGGGGCATCTCAAGCTACAGGCCAGGGGTTCTCAGAGGACCCAGGGACCCCCTCAGCCTCCACCCCCTGCTGGGGATCACATGCTGGGGGAGTCAGAAGGACCCCATCTCCCAGAGCCTGAAGGCCCCTCTGCAGTGTGCCCAGCTCTGTGAGCACTTCCGCTGGCCAGTCCTGCTCCAGGGCCTCCATATATCTACCTGCTTTCTCCCTCTAGCCCAGGGGATAGAAAGTGCCATCCCCATGGCCTATGAGGAGGCAGGGCCTAGAGGGGCCAAAGGACCATCCTGAGGCCACCAGCTGCTCACTGCAGAGGGTGGAGCAGAGCCAGCATCTGTCTTGGAGTCCATTCTTCCCACTGAACTCAGTAGGATGGGGCCATCTTTAGTGTCCTTCTCTCTTCTCTGCTTCCTACCCACCCTGTCAACCTGGGGTCACTGAGGTCATCCTGCCCCTTTCCATATAGGGAGTGGCTAACGCATTTCTGCAAATAGCCGCCACAGGAAATGCTGCGCAATTGCTGGCCCTGGGCTTGGTATCAGGATTCCTCATCATCTGCTGGAATAAGGTCAGAGCAAACCTGAGATTAGCTTCTGGGGAGGCCTGGAGCTGGCTGGGGATGGGGGGCTGCGCATGAGTAAGAGGGAGGCCTGGGGATGGTTTGAGAGAGGCACAGTTCAGATCCTAGAGGGTAGTGGGACCTGAAGGTCTGGCAGCTGCTCCCAATAGGCTGTCCATACCCTCCTCCCATTATCAGCTCAGGGGCCTTTCTGACACGCCCACATTCTCTTTCAGACTAGAGCAAACAAGAACCTGTAAAATGTGTTGACAGGAATCCTTTCCAAGCCCCTGGACAGACTGGGAAGGTTCCCCCTTCCTGGGGAATGTGTGAAGAAACATGCTTATGCATGGTTTATATCTTGTCAACTTTGGGGTAAAATAAAAATTAATTAAGTACACATTTATTGAGTGTATACTGTGTGCCTGACTCTTCCAGAACCAGGCTCTGAATCCCAGGATTCTGGGTCCTTTGAGACCTAGCACCATTGCCTCCAGCCCTGGGGCCTCCCTGTATCCAACCAGCCCCCACCTGGCCCTTCCCCAGGGCTGCCTGACCTGGTTCATATTTCAGACCCAGGGTGGCTCTTCTGGGGCCTCCTCAGGGCCTGAAAAAGGAAACTCAACTTTCTCCTCTGGACTTTGTTTTTTCAATTCTCACTTGAAGATATTTTTTTTATTTATCTTCAGATGGAGTGGGAGGGAGGGAGAGAGAAATATCTACATGAAAGGGACACATTGACTGGTTACCTCCCGCACAACCCGGCCAGGGCCTGGGACAAACCTCAACTCAGGCACGTGCCCTTGGCCAGAATCGAACCTGTGACTCTTTCGTCCGCGGGCCAACGCTCCAACCGCTGAGCCAAACCAGCCAGGGCTCAACTTTCTCCTCTGTAACACTCACAGTCATGCACCAGATGTGTGGGATTCTCCCCACCAAGCTATCTCCAGTTCTCTGTGGACACCAACTTTATTTTCTCTGATTTAACTCATTTCTTTCTTTCTTTTTTTTTTTATACTCACTCGAGGACATTTTTCCATTTTTTGTTCAGATAGAGTGGGAGGGAGAAAGAGGGAGAGAGAGAGAGAAACATCGACATGAAAGGGACACATCAAGTGGCTGCCAACTGCACAACCCAACCAGGGCCGGGGACAAACTGCAACCGAGGTACGTGCCCTTAGTGGGAACTGAACCTGGGTCTCCCCAGACTGCAGGCCAACGCTCTAACCTCTGAGCCAAAACGGCCAGGGCTTAACTCATTTCTGACATTGACAAAATGTCAACATAAGAAACATTCAAACCTGTGAAGAATTTTTGTGAGTTTATTTGAGCCAAACTGTTGACAATTGCCAGGAAGCAAAATCTCAATGGATTGAGATAATGCTCCGGAGAATGGTAGTTTTGCACCTTATTTAATTTAATTTATTAATTTATTTTTATCCTCACCCGAGGGAAGAGAGAGAGAGAAACATCGATGTGAGAGAGACAAATCAAGTGGTTGCCACCCACACAACCCCAACCAGGGCTGGGGACAAACTGCAACAGAGGTACATGCCCTTAGTGGGAACCGAACCCGGGCCTCTCTGGTCCGTGGGCCGAAGCTCTAACCTCTGAGTCACACCAGCCAGTGCTGCACCTTGTTTTATACATTACAATCAAAAGAGGAGACCCCTGGCTGGTGTGGTTCAGTGGTTAGAGTGTCGGCTCAAGCACTAAAGGGTGCGTGCAGGAGGCAACCAATTAATGTTGTTTTTTTTTCTCTCTCTCTTCCCCTTCCTCCCTTCTACTCTCTCTAAAAATCAATGGCAAAAATATTGTTGGGTGAGGATTAACCAAAAACAAATAAAAAGAAGAGATTTAAGTAGGTTACATGAAATCCATTGGTGATAGATTAGGGAGGTGGGAGAAAGCAAAGCAGGGAAATCTCTGGGATTTGATGAAAAAGTAAAATGATAGATACATGGATGGGTATAGGGTAGTTAGCAGTCAACAATTAACTCAATAATAATGAGGGTATTTGTGGTCTCCGCAGAGCAATGACTGCTTTGAGGGAAAAAGGAAAATTACTTTGACATTCCAAAGATGCAAAGACAAATAGACAGTCTCAATTAAGGTAAAGATTGACCTTTTCAGGGGAGGTGCTGGCCTAGGACATGACTACCCACCATAAACTGCTTTTAGTTAAAATGGTTTTAATTTCAGACCATCCTTTGTGGTTGGTTATTTTAGGTCTCAGTTTTTAAGGCCTCCCCTGAACTTGTCAGGTTTAGTATGTGGCCCCTTTTTGTCCACAAAGAGTTATCCAAGACCCCACAGGTTAAAGGCTCAGTCCCACCAGTCTGCCTCCACTTCAGATGCCAATCGCAGGTAACGGGTCCCAGGTTACCCACAAATTTCTTTCCAACTTGGCAACAGAACAGGGGTTCCCATGGCTTTTCCTTGGGTTTAATAATTTGCTAGAAGGCCTCACCGAACCAAGGAAAATAGTTAGTTTATTAGGTCAACAGTTTATTACAAAGAATACAACTGTGGCCCTGGCTGGATGGCTCAGTTGGTTGGAGCATCATCCTGTGCACCTAAAGGTTGCGGGTTCAATTCCTGGTCAGGGCACATACCTAAGTTGTGGATTGTTCTCACATCGATGTTTCTCTCTCTCTCTAAAATCAATAAAAACATATCCTCAGGTGAGGATTAAAAACAAACAAACACTCAGGAACAGCCAGATGAAAGAGTCGCACTGGGCAGGGTAGAAGGGAAGGATAAGGAGCTTCCATACCCTCTCTAGGCATGCCACCCTCCCAGCACCTCCATCTGTTCACCAACCTGGATGCTCTCCAGATCCTGTAGTTTAAGGATTATTATGGAGGCTTCATCACGTAGTCACACCATTAATCATTAACTCAATCTCCAGCCCGTCTCCTCTCCCCGAAGGATGGAGTTGAAAGTTCCAAGTTCTAATCAAGCCTTGGTCTTTCTGGTGACCAACCCCTGTCCAGGAACCCACCCAGTGTTACCACATTAGAATAAAAGACATTCTTGTCATCCAAGAAATTCCAAGCGATTTAGAAACCCTGTCTCAGGATCTGGGGCCAAAGACCAAATATTAGAACAAAAATTTTAGCGCCCCTATCACTCAGGAAATTACAGGGACTTTAGGAGCTCTGTCGGGAACCACAGGTAGAAACCCAATATACTTATTATGTCGCAGGGCCTCATACCTCTGGGGCCCTCAGTCTGGAAAACCAGCTGCTAACATATTTATTAGATAGTGTTCCTGAGGTTTCCTTTTCTTGGTGCCCTTGACCTGAAAGGGGGCATGACACCTCCAGCACAGACAAGGCCACCATCAGCTTCACCTGGTGACCTCTTTTCTGGCCATCACTACTTCCACTATTTTCCGTTCATAAGAGAGTCCAATGGTACTGCTCCCTCATAAACCCTGGCCTCAGGATGAAACCTGACACTCCACATGCAGATGCAGCTGATTCAGGGCTTTCCAGCTCTGCACTTGCCATGGGGGACAACCTCCAGCCCCAGGTTGGTGGCATTCTCCACCGTTCTGTCCCCCTGCCCAGGTGGGCTTTATAGCCATGTCACTTGCTTCCAGAGTAGTGGGAAAGCTTTACTGTGGAAAAAAGGGCCGGCTTTGGGCCCACCCTAATTGGAGGCTGGGGAGGCTGGGGCTGCTGACCAGAAGCGGGTGTGCGTCCTGTGTGATTGGCTTGGGGGCACATTGGGATTTCTCTGTTTGTTCTGAGTTGAAAGCAGGGGCAAAAAATAAAGAAGTTATAGTCAGTGGCAGAGTCCACCAACAGGGCCAATTGCTGCAGAGACCAGAAGAGTGGTTGCAGGGACTGGAGGGAGAATTTTCTTCTCATGTGGTCTGGTCACTTCCTCTTCCCGTACTCTGTCCCTCCTAAGCAAGGTGCGCCCCTTCCTGCCCCATCCCAGTCAGAACAGCCAACACTGAACCAGCATCTAGATGCCTGGAATCTCTTCCCCAGCCCGCTGCTGCCCTCTCAGAGCCCAGGTCAGGCCTGAGCACATAGCAGGGGCTCACAGACACTGGTCGGGTACACGAGGGTTCAATATGCTGGACACAGAGCCAGGCCGGTGTGGCTCAGTGGACTGAGTGTTGTTCTATGCACATGTACCAAGGGGTCACCAGTTCAATTCCCAGTCAGGGCACATGCTCAAGTTGTGGGCTTGATCCCCAGTGTGGGGCATGCAGGAGACAGCCAATCGATGTTTCTCTCTCATTGATGTTTCTATCTCTCCCTCTTCATTCCTCTCTAAAATCAATATAGAAAAAATATTTTAAAAATACAAAAACATGAAAACAAAATGCTGGACACAGGGCTGCCAAGTCACCACCAGGCTTGGTCCCAGCAGCTGTGCTGTGTGGTTTTCTACAACACTCAATTATTGCACTCAAAGTCCAAGGCAAAAATATAAAAGCCACCTCAGGTTGGGCTGAGATCAGTTAAGGAAAGGGATGCAAGGTGGAACCTGCAGCCAGAAGGGAACAGAGGTCCCTGTGGCAGGTAGGGGAGGAGATAGGAGATGGAGGCAGAGGCTGGGTTGAGGGCAAGAGGAGACCCAGGCCTGAGAGGACAAGGCTGGGTGTGCCTGGTGGGCGGAGATGGAGCATCCAGCTGACTCTGTGGCTTGTGTTGCCTTGAGCTTATCTATCCATCATTAATTGTTGCATCATTGATGCTACATCACAGCTTACATCCTTCTGGGGCCCTGAGGAAGCTGAGGCCTGTGCTGCCAAAGCAAAGACACCCTGAACCTAGGAAGTATCACTCCAAGATGGACACGCTGCTTTGGTAGGTGAGGGTGGCCCACCTGCCCGGGTCCTCTACCTCTCATTGCCCATCCCACCACCTCTTGGGCACCGCCTTGCCAGTTCCCCTAATGGCCCTCTTTGCTTCACTCCCCAGAGGCAAATCCACAATAAATTATCGGCCATGGCAACTCCAGGGCTACTGGGAACCCAAAGACCATAGAGGAGTCTGCATAAACATAGCTATGGGACCACAACCAAGAGAGTCCTGTGGCAGAATCTGGCTGTTCATTACCGAGGCTGGGCAGAAACAAGCAGGAAGGTGCCTGGCAGCTGTAGGGGAGCATTATAGGGCCAGTTCAATTCCCAGTTCTGCAATGTATTGTGTGATCTTGGGCATATTACTTAACCTCTCTGGGACTGACTATATGATGGAAGTCACAACATAGCTCCTTCATGGGCTATTGGAAGATGTAATGAGATCCTAGGTCTGCCTTAGTATAAAATAATCAACAGACATCGAGCACTGCCTGGCCCCTTCCCTGTCTTCCCTCATAACTTGATCTCCCCTACCCTATCGCTGGAGAGAGGAAGGGAGAGGGAGAGAAACATCAATGTGAGTGAGGGAGAGAAACATCGATGTGAGTGTGAGAGTGAATCATTGATCAGCTGCCTCCTGCACACTCCCTACTGGGGATTGAGCAGGCACCCAGGCATGTGCCCTGACAAGGAATCAAACCAGCAACCTTTCTGGGAACAGGATGATGCCCAACCAACTGAGCCACACCAGCCAGGGCACATTTATACATATTTTACACACAATTTATACATATTTTACACACAAGGGAGCTCATGCTATAAATGTGTATATTGCCATGACAATGTGTAGAAATATGTCATTCTTTCTAACTATAAACTAGAATTTTTAAAACTCTTTATTTTGAAATAATTTTAGATTTACAGAAAAGTTGCCTAAAAAAGCGTAGAGATTTTCCATATATTCTTTACCCAGCTTTCCCCAAAGTTACCATCTTACCATGGCAATTAACCATAGAAATGAACATTGATACAATCCTACTAACTAAACTCCTAACATCCCAAACTTACTAAATTTTCACCAGATTTTTCACTAATGTTCTTGTCTGGTCCAGGATCTAATCTAAGATCTCAAATTCATTTATTTGTTATGTCTCCTTAGCTTCCTCCAGTCAGTGACAACAACTAGAATTTTAAAAAAATATTTTTTTTTCTTTATTGAGTTTAGAGAGACAGAAAGAGAGAGAGAGAGAGATAGAAGCATCGATGAGAGAGAACATTGATTGGCCACCTCCTGCATGCCCTCTACTGGGGATTTGGCTCACAACCAGGGCATGTGCCCAGACTGGGAATCGAACTGGTAACCTCTTGGTGCATGGGTCAATGTTCAACCACTGAGCCACATCAGTGGCTCAACCAGGCCCAACTAGTATATTTCATAGCCATTAGTAATTTAAAATGTTTTGTATGATCCAAATGTTTCAGTCCTACTATTACCAGTGCAATAACCTGGTTATTATTTAACAAAAGGAGAGTAAAGGGAAGATTGACTAATTTAATACTTCAGGTCTATTTCCTGTGTGGGGAAAGGGTCTGGACAAAGGCAATTTAAACGTTTGCCAAGTGAGGTCTGAGTGATGAGGAAGGTGCCTACCTATCTTGGGAGGTGCCTACCTGTCCATCGTATCTGGGAATGAGTTAGTGGCCTAAAGAGGTGTGACCACTGCAAGCACAAACCACTTGAGTATTTAATCTCCTAGACAAAGAAAAGCTGCTCTTTTCCTCTCTCTCTTGCCACTCCCAGCTTTCAGGGCTCCCAAGCCCTGCACCTGTCATGTGGCCAGCAGCTGTGTGGGACCCATACAATAGATTAATGGACTGAATGTGGACTAATTCTAATCTGGATGCAGCTGCACCATGGAATAGGCACTCTGGATTTTGTCGTTATTTCTGACCTTGCTAAACCCATGGCTGCCCCTCTTCCAGGACTGGACTGAGGGACATGGGACTTTACAACCCCAGAAGTGTAATTCTACACCAATAAAAACCATCCTTTCTTGCCCAGCCAGTGTGGCTCAGTGGACTGAGCGTTGTCCCATGGACTGAGAGGTCCTGGTTTGATTCCCGGTCAGGGCACATGCCAGTGTTTCGGGCTCGATCCCCATTAAGAGGCATGCGGTAAGCTGCCGATTGATGTTTTTCTCTCACATAGATGTTTCTATCTCTCTTTCTCTTCCTCTCTCTCTAAAATATCAATAAAAACATATTTAAAACAAATAAACAAACAAAACATCCATTCTCCCTATTCGAGTCTTAGAAAATTCATTTTCTAAAAATGTGGTAAGAACCTCCTGCCCACCAGTCTTGGAAACATCTAGCCCCCTCTTCCCTCTAGCAACACTATTTAAAAAACACGAACCAGCCCTAGCCGGTTTGGCTCAGCGGTTAGAGCGTCGGCCTGCGGTACAGAGAGACCTGGGTTCGGTTCCCGCTAGGGGCATGTACCTCAGTTGCAGTTTGTCCCCGGCCCTGGTTGGTCGTGCGGGTGGCAGCCACTCGATGTGTCCCTTTCACATCGATGTTTCTCTCTCTCTCTCTCTTCCTCTCTCTCCCTCCCACTCTATCTGAACAAAAAAATGGAAAAATGTCCTTGGTGGAGGATAAAAAAACAAAACAAAACCAAAAAAAAAACAAAACTGAGGCACAAAGAAGGGAAGTAATTGCTCAAGTCATGCAGCTACCAAATGCCAGAGCTGGTATTTGACTGCAGGCATCTGACCCCAAACTTATGTACTTCCTTTGGCAACATGTTTAAAAAGCCTTTTAAGCCGGGCTGGTATAGCTCTGTGGTTGAGTGCTGACCCATGCACCAAGAGGTTGCTGGTTGGATTCCCGGTGGGGGCACATGCACAGGTTGTGGGCCTGATCCTCAGTGGGGGGCATGCAGGAGGCAGTTGATCTCTCTCCTTTCCTCTCTCTCTAACAAATCAATAAAAACATTTATTATTATTATTATTTAATCTCACTTGAGGCTGTTTTTGCATTTTGTTCAGATAGAGTGGGAGGGAGAGAGAGGAAGAGAGAGAGAGAAACATCAGTGCGTTTCTCACATTGGCTGGTTGCCTTGGCTTGACTCCAACCAGGGCCAGAACCGAGGTACGTGCCCTTGACCAGAATCGAACCCGCGACTCATTGGTCCACTGGCCAACACTCTAACCTCTGAACCAAACCGGCCAGGGTGGTTCTGGCTCTGGTTGGGGTCCAGTGGAGGGAACCAGTCAATGTGTCTCTCTCACATCGATGTCCCCCCCACACACACACTTCCCACTCTATGTGAAGATAAATGGAAAAATATCCTCTGGTAAGGATTTTAAAAAGAGAGAAAGAGAGAGAAAACAAAACAAAACATAAAATGGTCACCTTCTTTGATCTCTTTTAGGAATTAAAAAAAGGGAATAATCAGAGATGTCAGAAATTTACAAAAATGCTTATGAGGTAATAAAACTAGAAACAACCAGTGGTCAGTGGATGATTAGTACTGGCAGATAAATCCATGAAGTCCTCTGAACGACACTAGAGAATGTCCAGGAAATGACAGTGGCCCCAAGAGAAAGGACTGGGGAACAATGGAAGCCTTGCAAGCTGAACCTGAGTGGGAAGGAGTAATCTGCAGAGGCAGGGCCGAGAGGAAGCAGGAAGCGTGTGCGGGCCCTGTTGATATTTGGACATGAGGAGGAGAAAGATGCGGGCTGGGACGTGGAGAACTGTAGGATGGGGAGGAGAACGTGGGAAATGCCCCAGACCCAGCAGGCGAGCTCCACTGGAGCTGGACCTGCACCGGTCCAGAGCCAGGGGGCGCTCCCAGCAGCAGCTTTAGAGCGACTGGAAGGAGGTGGAGGGAAGGATGTCTGCGGAGCGTGGAGTTTCCTAGAGAGGAGCAGCGTCTTCACTCTGCAAACGCTGAGGACCCGCAGACAGAAGGTCCCGGGCTTCGCCGAAGGGGAGCGGATGGAAGGAGGGATCCCACGAGCTGGGGAGGGTTGCGGTGAGCGGAGGGCCCCGGGTGCCGTGCGGGAGGGGAGTCGGGGCGTCCAAGCCACGTGCAGGGACTTAGCGCCCGGGGCAAGGTGAGCGGCAAGGTGAGCGTTAGCTCAGATGCTGCTGGGGCCTTATCGCCCGCCAACTGCCGAGGGTCTGGGAAGCAGCTCCGAGGTCCGCTGCCTGCAATCCCAGTCCCCACCGCGCAAGGTGGTAGGTGAATGACAAGTGTCCAGTGGCTGTGCAAAGGGCGATCGCTGGACCGAGGTCGGGACCGATTGGCGACGGCTGGACCGATGGGTGACGGCTAGGCCAATGAACGAGGGCTGGACGGAAAGCGAAGGCTGGACCCATGGGCGAGGAACGGACTTACGGGTTAGGGCTGGACCGATGAGTAGGGGAGTGACCAGGGTGTGGGAGGGACCAATGGGCGAGGGCTGGACCAATGGGCGAGGGCTTGACCTCTGGGCGGGAACTGGACCTAAGGGCGAGTGAGGGACCGATGGGCGAGGGAGGGACCAATATGTCGAGGATGCTGCGCCGTCAAAGATGCTGCGCTGAGCAGAGCCAGTGGCTTCAATGAGCTGAAAGGGAGACCTTCCTTTCGCTCGCTGAGAAAAATGAACGAGGCCTTCAAAAAAATGCTTCGGCTTCCTCCGTAGGGACCCGAAGTCACACCTTGGGGGAGGCCCGGGGGTCTCAGTTAAATCTACCCGCCTAGTCCTGGGAGAGTCCTGGGTGGACTCAAATCCAGACCTCAGAGTCGCCAACGGCCCGCCCCCGCGCGCCGATTGGTCAGGTCGCTAGTTCGGCACCGCTCCGGGAAGACCTGGGAAAGCGGAGTTTACCGAAGGAATGGGGCCCCGCAGTACTATTGCGCATGCTTGCACCGTGACCCTTGCTTGAGGTGGGCCGCTACCGAGGCGGGGGCTCCAGGCGCGGAAGCTGAGGGACTTGCTGCGTCTTGGTCGCTGGAGAGGGAGGGCCGCGCTGCACTCGCCGCCCGGCCGGTGCCTGGTAAAGACGGGCCCCAGCGGGTCGGGGAGGGTCCCGGGTCCCATGGAGTAGGCGCGTCCCCACCCCCCGGCCGAGGTCTTTCGGGGTTCCGTAGGGGCTGCTGAACCTGGGGGTTCCCTCTGGCGCTGCGTCCCGGCGCTCAGGCCACTTCCTTGTCCTTCATCCGCGATTCACCTCCTTTCTCTTCGCTCCTCCTTTGCCCAACCCAACAGACCCTGGGACTGAGCCCCTACAGGCACCCTAAATCAGGGAGCCCCACATTGGCCTGCCTTTCCTTGACCCCGTCCTGTACTGCTTCCCTCTCCTTGCCCATCCTCAGCCCCGTCCCACCCGTGTGGTTCTAGAGGCCCCGGTGGGGATGGCATAGTGTTGGAAGTGTGAGATCCTGGAGCGGGGTAAACGCTCAGAGGCTTCGTCTGGAGACGATGGAAATGATTGGAGAGGATAGGAGCAGGGGCCATTTGGGCGCAGCATAGACAGGTCTGATGACAAATTGCAGTGGGGAAGGAGGAGTAAAAGTAACTAATATTCCGAGCCATGGTGATTAGGGGAAAGGAGGTGTCATGACAGAAAATTCCCACTTTGGGGATGCTCTTCCCTGATACTATAGAGTAGCAGTTCTTGACCTTTTTTGGGGTCATTGCTGCTTTGAAAATCTCCCAGTAAGGATACGTACCTGCACAGCTAAATTGGCCCGTCTTCCCACCAGCGATCCAGTCACAGCCCTCCATGAAGTGCATAGGACAGTAATTATGGGGAGTGGGGGTAGCTGTCAGTATCACTGGGAACTTTTAAAAACAACCATTTCAGCCCTGGCCGGTTTGGCTCAGCGGTTAGAGCATCGGCCCTCAGACCAGAGAGTCCGAGGTTCAGTTCCTGCTAAGGGCACGTACCTCAGTTGCAGTTTGTCCCTGGCCCCGGTTGGGGTCGTGTGGGTGACAACCTGTCGATGTGTCTATCTCAAATCAGTGTTTCTCTCTCTCTCTCTTCACCCCTCTCTCCCTCCCGCTCTCTCTCCCTCCCGCTCTATCTGAAGATAAATGCAAAAAATGTCCTCGGGTGAGGGTAAAATAACCCAACCATTTCACTCTTCCCCTACCTGTATTAAGAACCCCTGCTAGCCACAGCCACTGTGGCTCAGTGGTTGAGCATCCACCCATGCACCAAGAGGTCACGTGTTCGAGTCCTAGTTAAGGCACATGCCCAGTTTGTGGGCCCAATCCCTAGTGGGGGACATGCAGGAGGTGGCCAGTCCCTGTTCTCATTGATGCTTCTCTCTCTCTCTCCCTTCCTCTCTCTAAAATCAATAAACAAAAATATATATTTTTAAAAAGGAACCCCTGCTAAATTCACTACTGTTCCCATTACATAGGTGAAACCAGCCCAGAGAGGGTAAGAGGTTTGCACTCATGGCTTAGGATGCAGGTGTTGGTGAACGTTGATGGTATTTCTCTCCCATATGTATGAAGATAATTCTGCCATCCATCATCAGCCACCAGGCAGGGCTCTCAGCTTTCAGAATCTCACCAATAGGGATTGGATTTCCCATTAGTTTCCTATTGCATTAGTAGCAAATTACCACAAATTTAGTGGGTGAAAACAACACAGCTATGTAACAATCTTAAAATTCTGGAATTCAGAAGTCTATTACAGGTCTCACTGGGATAAAATCAAGGTGTGGGCAGGGCCGTATTCCTTCCTGGGGACTCAAGAAGAGATCATCTGTTTCTTTGTCTTTTCCAGCTTCTAGAGGTCTTCAGTATCCCTCTAGTTTTACAGCCAGCAACATCGCATTTCCCTGGCCCTGCTTCCATCAACACAACTTTCTCTGACTCTCTTCTTCAGCATCTCTCTTCTATTTTTTAGGATCCTTGAGATTAGAGCCATTTGGATAATACAAGCTAATCTACTTTAGTAACTTTAATTCCATCTGAAAACTTAATTCCTCTTTGCCATGTAAGGTAACACATTCACAGGTTCCAGGGATTGGGACCTGGACATTTTTGGGGGGCCATTATTATGTCTCCCAAAGATCTGATGATGGCTACGAACAGGTCTTAACATTGTGTGATTTGGAACTTCACTGAGCCGTCTTTACACTTTTTAGGCTCCTTTGTGCAGACCAACGTCATGACAGCTGGTTGGCATAAGTGAGGGACTGGAGGCCACAGCAATATAAAACCACCAGATTACAGAGTTAGGGGGAGGATGTAAACTCAACAAAGTAAGGTAACTGTTAAGCCTTTTGATCTTTTAAATTATTTTCTGCTTCACTTTAAAAAATTCTACTTATGCCCAGCTGGTGTGGCTCAGTGGTTGAGCATTGACCCATGCACCAAGAGGTCACCGGTTCGATTCCTGGGCAGGGCATGTGCCCAGGTTGTGGGCTCGATCCCCAGTTGGGGGCATACAGGAGGTGATCAGTTAATGTTCTCTCTCATTGATGTTTCTGTCTCTCTCTCTCTCCCTCTCTCTTTCTTTCTCTATAAAAATAAATTAAAAAGCTACATTAAATACATAAAAATAAAAAATTCTACTTATTTATTGAACTTTTACTGAGTAAAAATTTAATTTTCTAAGTATGCGCATTTGGCTTAAAGTAGCTGCCTCTTAACCCTTCCCTTTACACCTAGAAAATAAATTTCTACGAGGCTAGGGATGAATCCAGAAAAAAAACTGATGTTCATCCTAGTGGTGTGAAGTAGTATCTCATTGTGGTTTTCTGCATTTCCCTCATGATGATGTGGAAATTTCATGTGCTTATTAGCCATTTGTATATCTTCTTTGCAGAAAGGCCTATTCAGAGCCTTTGCCCATTCTTAAGTTGGGTTATTTGTCTTTTTATTACAGAGTTAGAGTTCTTTATAAATTCCAGATACAATTTGCTTATCAAATTCGTAATTTGTAAAAATTTTCTCCTATTTTATGGATTGTCTTTTAACTTTTTAAATTTTTTATTGATTTTTTTTTAGAGAGAGAGAAACATCAATCAGCTGCCTCCTGCATGCCCCCTACTGGGGATTGAGCTGGCAACCCGTGCATGTGCCCTGACCAGGAATTGAACCAGGACCTCTCAGACCATGGGACAACAGTCAATCCACTGAGCCACACAGGCCAGGCTCTTTCTTTCTTTTTTTAGTAATTTTGATTTTTAGAGAGAGAAACAAAGATGTGAGAGTGCAACATTGATCAGCTGCCTCCTGCATACCCTCTACCAGGGATTGGCCTGCAACCTAGTCATGTGCCCTTGACTGGGAATCAAGTAGGCGACCTCCTGGTGCACCAGACAACGCCCAACCAACTGAGCCACACCAGCCAGGGCTCTTTTAACTTTCTTGACTGGATCCTTTGACTCACAAAATTTTTAAATTTTCTTCAGTTGATCTGTTTCTTCTTTGGTTGCCTATACTTTTAGTGTCATATTGAAGAAAGCTTTGCCAAATCCAAGTTCATGAAGATTTACTCCTATCTTTTTAAAAAGTTTTATAACTAGCTCTTATGGTTAAGTCTATGATGTATTTAGAGTTAATTGTTGTATATGGTGTGAGGAGAGGGGTCCATCTTAATTCTTTTATATTGGATATCTATTTGTCCCAACATACAACATTTGTTAAAAAGTCTATTCTTTCCCCCACATCAAGGGTCAGACTTGATCTTTACCTCCTGAAAGGGGAAGTGTTTACTCTTTGGAATTTCTTCATAAGAATGACTTGTTCTTTCTCCCCATTTATTTATTTATTCATTCAATTATTTATATCAGTGTGGATTTATGAATATGTATTTTATTTGTTGGGTTATATCCTGAGGACTTACTCTGAAGTCCTGGATGTAGTTTCCTCTGTAACTGGCATTTCTCACTTTAAGCCTCAGCTGCTCAGGGCAGAGGAAGGAATGTTGGCTCTGGACCAGCTAGGCCTGGGTTCAGGTTTTGTCTCCTGCTAGTTCTATTGTCCTGGGCCACTTACTTAAGTCCTGGAGCCTCAGTCCTCCCAGGGGCAGAATGGGGATAATGATGACAATTGGAAGAAATTTTGTTCTGGAGATATGGGCTGATATCATAGGATTTCTGTTCCTGACTCAGGTCCCAGCTTGACAACCAATGACATGGCTATGGGCAGGTCACTTTATTTTTTTATTTATTTTATTTTATTTTTTTTTATCCTCACCCGAGGATATTTTTCCATTTTTTGTACAGATAGAGTGGGAGGGAGAGAGAGGAAGGGAGAGAGAGACAGAAACATCGACGTGAAGGGACACATTGAGTGGCTGCCACCCGCACGACCATCCAGGGCCGGGGACAAACTGCAACCGAAGTACATGCCCTTAGCGGGAACTGAACCCGGGTCTCTCCGGACCGCAGGCCAACGCTCTAACCGCTGAGCCAAACCGGCCAGGGCTGGGCAGGTCACTTTAATGTTGAACTTGAACAGGAGTGCTAGAAGGGCAGGGTGTATGTTCTTGTTTTCTCCTCTTGCTCTCGCTCTCTCTTCCTATTAGTTTATATTTTTTTTTATATGACATTATGTTGCATAGGAATGGGGACTTTTTTTTAAAGTACTAGACTAAAAAAAATTACTAGCTCAGTAAATGTATCTTATTTTTTAAATGTTAAATATTTTCCTATTGTGCCCTGGCCGGTTTGGCTCAGCAGTTAGAACATCGGCCCGCAGACCGGAGAGTCCCGGGTTTGGTTCCTGCTAAGGGTATGTACCTCAGTTACAGTTTGTCCCTGGCCACGGTTGGGGTCGTGTAGGTGGCAGCCAGTCGATGTGTCTCTTTCACGTCGATGTTTTTCTCTCTCTCTATCTGTTCCCCTCTCTCCCTCTCACTCTATCTCAAGATAAATGCAAAGATGTCCTTGTGTGAGGATAAAATATATATATTTTCCCATTGTAAAATTGGTTCATGCACATTACAATTTGGGGAACATAATAGAAAATTAGAAAAAATAATACAAAATTAGCAGAAAATGAAATCCCTCATTCCCACCACTACTAACATTTTGATGAATTACTTCTTAGTTAGCTTCAGTGCAGTTTTTATAATTCTTTGAAAACAGACTAGAAAGCACCTGCTTTTTAAGTTAAGAACAGATCAAATAGTAAATACATGACAAATATGACTGGAATGGAAAATAAAAGGAAAGACAACTGGGTTGAAAGAGAAAGACACAGGACAGGGACCAAAGTTCTCTGTCTTTTTTCAAAAAATGCATAGTTGTTTAGCCTAGAAAATATTATCTTTGCTAATGATTTCATTGGACTTTCTAAGAACACTTTTTTGTAAACCAAGTATAAATACTTTAAAACCTTCTTATATCCTTTTCTACCCCTGTGTCCTCTTTTATTCATCTTGGGAAATTGGTTTATTTTAAGAAGCAACATTTCTATCTTGTGGCTTTCTAGAATACTGTTGCTTAAGGTTTAAATGGAATTTTCTACAGTTAACAGGGGTAAATTAAATTGTGCTTTGGTACTTTATAAGGGTCTTTCCATCTGGTCTCTAGGCTGGTGATTTCTACCCTAATGGAAAGAAGGCAGGAAATACAATTATTTGAAAGCTTTGCTTGTAGCTGTGAAAAAAATGTATGTAGGAAACAATGCAGAAATGAAAGCAGCAGTTTGTGATAGGAGGTGGAATTATGCAGATTTACTATTATTGCTTAATGTATTCTATATTACTTTTTCAATATTTATTTTAAAAAATTTATTTATTTATTTTTATCCTCACCCGAGGACATTTTTCCATTCTTTTGTTCAGATAGAGTGGGAGGGAGAGAGACGAAGAGAGAGAGAGAGAGAAACATCGACGTGAAAGGGACACATCGAGTGGCTGCCACCTGCACGACCAACCAGGGCTGGGGACAAACTGCAACCAAGGTATATGCCCTTAGCGGGAACCGAACCCCGGTCTCTCTGGACCGCAGGCCGACTCTCTAACTGCTGAGCCAAACCTGCCAGGGCTATTTAAAAAAATTTAAATGAGCCCTGGCCAGTTTGGCTCAATGGTTGAGCGTTGACCTGCAGACCAGAGAGTCCCGGGTTCGCTAGAGGCACATACCACAAAAAAAAATTTTTAAATGACCTCTGTATAATCTATCTCATTGTTTTCCTTTGGTTAGAAAACCAAATTCAGATAAATTAAGTGTAGTGTCTTGGCAGTGTAGAGGAGCAGTTTATTGTGCAGGAATGTGTTTTCAAACTGGTAGCTCTTGGATGAAGGTGGCTTCTATAAACATTTTTTATATTTTAAAATTTTGGATAATGCTCTAAAGAACAAAAATGTATGTAAGCGTATTCTGGCTCCCCTGGATGACAAGCAGAGCTTTGGGACTATGGTGGCATTTGTGCTAAGATCCAGCTGGTGTGAGGGCTCCTTACTGAGTAGCCCCTAGTTTCCTGTGCAGGCCCTGTGTGCTACTGCCCTCGGGGAGCATACTCTGTTTGAATGTGCATGGAAATTTGGGATCAAGATGTAGAGGTACCACAAGCTATGATTTTTTGGTCACTTACCATGTTCTGTGCTGCAATGGGCTGAATTGTGCCCACCTCCAAATTCATATGTTGAAGTTCTAACCCTCAGAGCCTCAGAATGTGACTATATTGGAGATAGGGCCTTTAAAGAGGTAATTAAGGTTAAATCATGTCACATTGGGTTGGCCTTGATCCAGCATGAGCAGATATAATAAGATATTAGGATATAGACGCACACAGGGAACGCCATGTGAAGACCTAGGAAGAAGGAAACAGAACCAACCCCGAGCCAGTTGAAGAAACAGGTCCAAGGGTGCAAGTAGACGTGTGTGGGCCTTGCCGTGGCCTTCCTGGATAGGGCAGGCATGATGTCTCCCCAGGCTGCAGCGTTATTTCTGGACTAATACAGTAAACTGAGAAGACCTGCCGTCTTCCCACCACAAAACACAAAAGGCCACCCACACTGATGACCTAGGGCCGTGGTCTTCAGACCTGCCCAGCCCCAGTAATCTGTCCTGTCTGCTTCTCCAGGCCAGAAGTCAGAGAGTGCTTAGTGACCATGGATTCTCTGAACAACTCCACAGCCCTGTCCTCACCTAGCCGAGGCAGTGCCAGCACCAGCTCAAGCACAAGGTCACTGCCTTCATGAGGCCCTGGCACCTCCTGAGCTCTGGGTGGCTCCAGGCCTCCCACCCAGCGTGGGGGCAGGATCTAATTGTGAGTCCAGAAAGTCATGCCTCCCAGGGCCAGGAATTCTGTGCTCAGCAGGGTGCCAGGGTGAAAGGGCACCAGGAATTCTGGGAGGGTCAGTGACCTGAGCTCATGTCCCCAGTGCTTGTCTCAGATGCTTGGTGCTCAGGAACACCAGTGACTGCTATCCTGGACAAGGTACAGCAGGTGCTGTGGGGGGTGGGCTCCGGACCTTCTTCAACTAGACTCCCAGCTTTGCCACTTCATGGCTGTGTTGGTCACCCTGGCTTGCCTCAGTGTCCTCCGCTGTAAACTGGGTCAGTGAGAATGCTGAACTTCCATAACGTGAGGCTGGAAGGGTAAATGGAAAAACCCATGAAACACTTTTCTCCACGCTCAGCACCCACAGACCTCTATTTGTAGTAACTTAGTTATCAGTATCTTAATCTCCCAATGGTCCCACCTACACCAAGAACACTGTTTGTGGCACATTGTACACATAGGGAAAGTGAGGTTTGGATGGGGGGTGACATACTCACTGCAGCCAAGAGGAACTGGCCAAGCAGAAGCACCAGCTCAGGCTTTTCCAGTTCTGTTCAGGTCCTTGCCTATCCTGGTGCCCCATCTGCCCAACGTGTACCTCAGATTTGTTCTCCTTAGCCCAGGCTTCACTGATGGGGGTTTGCCTCCTCCCTTAGGACAGAGTCCCTGGACTGTCACGTTCCTTGCCAGGGAGAAGGAGGAGAAATCCATCTACTGGGGCCTGAGTGTGGCCTGGGGGACCGGCTCTCGGTCCCAAAATGCCCCTGCCTGAGCCCAGCAAGCAGGAGGGCGAGAATGTGAAGGCCGACCAGGAGCTGTCCCCTGAATTCTCTGAGCCGGGCACAGGTGTCATCCCTACAGCTCCCAGGAAGCCCAGGAAGTTCTCCAAACTGGTTTTGCTGACAGCCTCCAAAGACAGTGACAAAGTGGCTGCAGCCAAGCGCAAAGGAGTGCACTGCATCATGTCTCTGGGGGTGCCCGGCCCTGCCACCCTTGCCAAGGCTCTCCTCAAGATCCATCCTGAGGCCCAGCGTGCCATTGAGGCAGCCCCCCAGGAGCCTGAACAGAAACGCAGAAAGCTGGACACAGGTGAGGCCCTGGTCCCAGTGAGCAAAAGCGAGCAAGACGTCCCTGGAGCTAGAAGTCCCCTGACATCTGGGCAGTCGAGGGGACAGACAGGCTAGGCTGGCTCTGGACAAGAGTGTACCTGTGCTGGGAATGTGTCTGTATATTCTCTCTCTGTGTTACATCTGTGTGTTTGTAGCCTTCGTGCATGTGTGTCTAGGATTCTGTGTCTACATATGTATTTGCCTGGAAAGGTGCGTCTGTCCTTGCGTGTCCATGTCCCTGGACCTATTTATGTTCATGCCTGTTCTTATGTGTTTGTGTATTTATGTGTTTGGGGGGTGTCTGTGTGTGCATGTTTCTGTGCCAGAGTCTATCTGAGGCCCCAAGTAGACCCCCTCCTCCACCAGGCTTGCTGCAGTTGACAGTGGAACATGGAATCCTGAGGGATGCCTGGGGGAGAAGGTATCTAGTGGCTGGGAAGGAGATGACCTGAGGTTTCTTCCCAACTGGAAATGGTGTCTGCTGGGCCTTAAGAAGATAGAGAAAATAAAAGCCAAAGCAGTTGGCCCTGTTTGCTGCCTATGAACAGGTGGCCTCCTTGGGATCAGTCAGGGCACTCAGCCTAGCAGCCAGTCTTGGGAAAAGGAAACCAAAGCTTCTTGATTTCCATCAGGTAGCTGGGCAGTACAATGGACCCCTCCTCGTTGATGGAAATTTAGTGGTGAGTGCTCTGGAGTCATGGGGGTGGAGGAGCCCTACTGCTTCCCCAAGGTTGAGACTTCAGGGCTCCTGAGATTGGGGCACCCCAGCTACAGGACTGGAGCTCACAGGGGACCTGAGGAACCCTTCACCCTCCATCTCTTGCTGGACAAGAGCTGTAATTGGGAGTCAGGGACATCATCTCCCCAAAACCTGGAAGCCCCTCTGCAGCATGCTCTACCAGCCAGTTCTGTTTCAGATGCCTCCATGGATCTGTCTGCTTCCTCCTGCCAACCCAGGGGGGTGGAGGGTGCTGTACTATGACCTGTTAGGAAGCAGGGCTCAGAGAGGCCAAGTTATTACCCTGAGGCTACCTGCTGATCCCTTCAGAGGGTGAAGAGGGGGACATCTGACTCAGAGCCTGTTCTTCCCACTCAATTCAGTGGGTTGGGTCATCTCCAGGGTCTTTTCTACCCTGTCTGAGACCTCTGCTTAGGCATCTGCCCAGGTTCTGAGGCCAGATGGGCCCCACCCCATACAATTATTGTGAGAATTAGAACAAAGCCACCCTTCCTGAGATGGAGAGATGAAGAGCAGAACAAGAACTGCCTCTCAGCCCCACAGGCTCCCTTAGGCAAGTACTCTAGCAGTCAACAACCTTCTCAACCTATCATTCCATCTTCACCCTCTACCTGGTCCCTACCTTCCCCACCTATTGCTGCATCCCAGGCCAGGCAGTAGGGATAGCAGCAACTTCCTAGTGCTCAGCCCAGATTTGGCCCAAAGTTTCCCGAAAGATTAGCAGGCTCTGTGGCCTTTGGGAGCATATCTCTGGAGTTGGCAATTCTCTAAGTCAGTCAGTGGTGTCCCAGAGCATCCCCGGGTGGGCTGAGACCTCTGGGCTTCAGGTCTGTGCCATACCCCTGCCCCCCATTTCTCCTCTGACACCAGCCTGACCCACCCCCTTCTCTTCCAGAAGGAAAAGAAGACAGAAGGTTGGCAGAGGGGCCTGCCCCCAGTTCCACAGTGGGCGGGGAGGAGTCCTCTGTGGGGCCCAGCAAGGCCCCGTAACCCTGACAACTGCAGGCGCAGCATCCTTGATGTGTCAGTGAACTTGGCTGTGACTTCTTCTGCCTGGGCCCAGTCCCCAGCTGATTTTCACTCTTGACATTGTGTACTATTTTTCAGCTCAAGCGCAAGTTACTTTTGTAAGCAGAAAAAAAAAAAATCAAAATAAAATAAGCTATATGCTAGATCCCATCGTGAACAGGTTGTAAAAGTTCCAGGATTCTGGGTCCTTTGAGGCCCAACTTCAAACCCACTACCCCTTGGGCCTACCCACCCCACCAGCCCTCACATAGCCCTTCCCCAGGGCTGCCAAACCCAGGGAGTGCTCTCGGAGGCCTCCATCCCCCAGGACCTCAACCCCTAGGGCTCCTTCAGTCTGGAAAACCAGCGCCTCACTCAGAGACTAGATGCTTCCTCTTCCTTCTGCCTTGGTCTGAAAGAGGGCAGTGGGATCTCCAGCCCTGAACCCCTAGGAAGTTGATCCAGCCCCTTGCTGGAGACCTCAGCCTGCTCCCGCTGGACCCTCAGGAGGCTCACCTCCTCCAGGCAGCCACATAGGACTGATAGCCCCCTGCACAGGGGTTCTGCCATCATGGTGGCCCAGGGTTCTGCTGAGAAAGGGTTGGGCCTGCAGTCTGGGGGTGGGGACACTGACAAAAGTGTGTGGTGCTCCCATCATGTTCCTTCCAGGTGGTTTGGGAGCTGAGGGAGGTGACCAGGAACCTGAGCCCCCACCCCAGCCCCTGGGTGCTCCCTCTGCTGGTGGAGGAAGTGAAATTCCACAGTTCTTCTTCAAGCAAAAATTAGGGTCTCCCAGAGACCCCCACTGGAAGGGTTTCAGCCTCAGTTGCTTCACTGCTAGTGGTCCTCATTCTTTGAAACCTGCTACTGGGCACAAGTAAATGGCTTTTTATTTATTTATTTATTTATTATATTTTATATATATATCTATATATATATTTTTTTTATTTTAGAGAGAGAGGAAGGGAGAGGGAGAGAGATAGAAACATTGATGAGAGAGAACATCGACTGGCCACCTGCACGCCCGCCACTGGGGATTGGGCCCACAACCTGGGCATGTGCCCTGACCAGGGATCAAACCGGCGATCTCTTGGTGCAAGGGTCCAAGCTCAACCTGTGAAATGACTTATTTTTAAAATACAGAGTTTAGAGATCTTATATTTTAAAACAACATTTTCTCTTCTTCTTTTTTTTTTTTTTTTGGTACGTGCCCCTAGCGAGAACTGAACCCGGGACTCTCTGGTCCTCAGGCCTACGCTCCAACAGCTGAGCCAAAATGGCCAGGGCTAAAACAACATTTTCTAAATGTAATCAGTATCTAGTGACTCCCTCTTAGGAGAGCAAGTTACTCAGCACGTTTTCATGCCAGCTCTCCATTTTTCTATTTTATTTTTACAGCATATTTGTTTGTAACATTTACATTTTGTAACCATAATTTGAGATATTCCTTTGTCTTAATTCTACATTGATTGATTTATTTAAAAACATTTTTTTTCCTTTATTGGTTTTAGAGAGAGAGGAAGGGAGAGGGAGAGAGAAACATCGATGAGAGAGAACATCGATTGGCCACCTCCTGCATGCCCCCCACTGGGGATTTGCCCCACAACGTGGGCATGTGCCCTGGCTGGGAACCGAACCAGCGACCTCTTGGTGCATGGGTCGATGCTCAACCACTGAGCCACACCGGCTGCACTGAAAATCAGTTTTAAACAGCCTTGGGTTTTCCTAGGAAAAAGCTCTAGAAGTGAGATTGCCTGTGAATTCTGGACTCTCAGACATCCTTGCCAACACCTGGTACTATCATTAAAAACAAAATACTACCTCCCTGGGGTTGCAGGTTTGATCCCTGGCCCCAACCAGGGCTGTGTTGGGGAAGCAACCAATTGATGTGTCTCTCTCCCATTGATGTTTCTCTCTCTCCCCCTCCCTCCCTCCCTTCCACTCTCTAAAAATCAGTGGAAAAAAATATCCTTGGATGAGGATTTAAAAAGAACAAAGAAAATACTACCTGGCTGGGTGGCTCAGTTGGTTGGAGCATCCTCCGGTACACCAAAAGATTACCAGTTCCAACTGGGCGCATATGGGAGGCAATCCATGGATGTTTCTCTCTCACATTCATGTCTTTCTCTCCCTTTCTCTCTCTCTCTCTATATATATATCAGGTGAGGATTAGGAAAGAGAAAATAGCACCCTCCACTTCCCTCTTGTGTGCATAACTTATGCATGTTTTCTTCTTGGGGCTGCATTTCCTTTGGTTACTTCGGATATTGCTCATCATGGGACCCCAGGTTCCCCACCCGTGGCGACTTTGTGGCTGATGCTCCTGGCAGCCCGGAAGGGGTGCATTCGGACTCATCGGAGATCCAGGCACCTCCCCAACACCTGAGCCATGAGAGCTTCTAGGATTGCAGTTCTTCCGCAGTCTCAGTCTATCCTACTCGAAGGACCCAAAATGCCCACCCGCACCTTAAGGATCAAGCACCGACTCTAAGGTGACATCTGTAGGGGAGGGGATGGGCGATTGACCAGCAGATGGCCTAACTACTGGGAGAATGGGAGTGAGATCCTAACTCCATACCGTCCACCCTAAAGTCTAGCACAAATTGCAGCCACCCCTTCCAAGGCGCTGAGCGGGAGGCGAGGGGCAGAGCTTCGAATCTGGGGCCTTTCCTGCGGCCACGCGCCAAGTGTCCAGGAATACAGTGCCGAGGCCCTGCAGCTCCCCGCGCCAGATCAACCCCGGTCCCCACAGCACAGGGTGGTTGGAAAGTGGCAAGTGTCCAGTGACTGCAAAGGGCGACCGATGGACAAGGCCAGGACCAGTGGGCCAAAGCCGTCCTATGGGCGAGGGAGGGATCAATGTGCAGTAGATGCTTTCCTCCCAGGAATGCCAAAGGGGAGGAAATTTTTGTTCGTCTGACTTTTTTTAAATTTTTTTTTATCCTCACCCGAGGATATTTTTCCATTTTTTGTACAGATAGAGTGGGAGGGAGAGAGAAGAAGAGAGAGAGAGAGAAACATCGACGTGAAGGGACACATCGAGTGGCTGCCAGCCGCACGACCAACCAGGGCCGGGGACAAACTGCAACCGAAGTACGTGCCCTTAGCGGGAAGGGACCCGGGTCTCTCCGGACCGCAGGCAGACGCTCTAACCGCTGAGCCAAACCGGCCAGGGCTGTCTGACATTTTATTTTGACATAATTTCACACCTACAGAAAAGTTGCAAGAAGTGTACAAAGGATTCCTATGTATTCTTCACCCAGACTCTCCAAATATTAGGAATAATGCCAGTCACAGCAGCAATATTTATAATAGAGTTAGAAACAAAATGTCCAATAGGAAAATAAATTATGTAGACAATCATTTGTAAAATAAGCTTTTAATATATATTTTAGTTGGCTTCCTATTATAAGAAAGAGTTTTCCTTCTCCCGTATTACTTATTTACATAAATATTAACTCATTCTTATTTTTATTCAAGGTTATAATCCATTAATATTTATTTCGAGCCCTGGCCAGTTAGGCTCTTAGAGACCTGGCTGTTAGAGCATCGGCCCTTGGGCCAATGAGTGGCTGGTTCGATTCTGGTCAAGGGCACTACCTCAGTTGCGGTTCCTCCTGGCCCTGGTCGGGTCCTGCAGGAGGCAACCAGTCCAGGTGGCTCTATCACATCAATGAGCCTCTCTCTTTCTCTCTCTCCCTCCCTCCCACTCTATCTGATGGTAAATAGAAAAATATCCTCAGGTGAGGAATAATATATATATATATATATATATATATATATATATATATATATAATTTTGAATCTTAAATTGGCCCAGCTTATTTGAAGGTTTCAGTGCGGAGCATAAGAAATTTCCTTGTGCTCCTCCTTTGTAAGTGCGGAGACAAATACTGAGAGAGGTTGAGGGTTCCCAATTCCGCCCCCAACCCACTAGTCTGAGAGTTACCGGTTTTGGACACCCTGTCCAAGCCACACGTTCTTCTGAGGCTCCGCCCAAGACGCCGCCACCCAATCCTGGGCTTCCCTCTCCTTTTGCGCCAGCCCCAGCCCCACCTCCTCGTCCCGATTGGTTGGGCTGTCAGCCCCTCGCCGCGCTAGGAAGACCCGGAGAAGCGAAGTTCGGCCCCCAAAATGGGCTCTGCTGCACATGCTCACCAGGAGCTCGCTTAGGCTTCTCGGAGGCCGGCTCCCCAACCGGGTGACGCGCGCTCCCGACAACCCCTGGGACGGCGCGCGCGGGCTCGGGTCTCGCTCCCGAAGGGGCATGTGGGGGCGGGGACCCGGAGCTCGGGTTGCGGTGGCCTGAGGGGCCTGGGCCGCAAGGTTGACGCCGTGGTTGCAGCGGCTGAGGCCAAAGGACCAGCGGTGGCTCGGTCGCCGGAGAAAAAGGTCCCCGCTGCTGTCGCCGCCCGGCCGGTGCCCGGTGAGGACGGGCCCCAGCGAGCCGGGGAGGGTCCCCAGTCCCATGGTGTGGACGCGGTTCTCCCTGCAGTCCCAAGGGTTGCTGCTACTGGGAGGAAGGGTGTCCCCAGGCTATGGGTCGTGGCGCTTAGGCCGCCTCCTCGTCCTTCACCCGGGATTCGCCTCCTTTCTCCTCGCCCCTCCTTCCCCCACCCCACCCCACCCTGGGACTGAGCCCTGACGCCCCAAATCAGGGAGTCCCACATTCGCCCGTGTCCCCCGGCGGTGTCCACCGCACCGCATACTGCCTCCACTCTGGCACCCATCTTTGCGGCTCCGGAGGTACCAGTGACCTTGCACTTTTGCTGTTGTTACATCCCTCCTTCCACTTCTGATTATGTAGATTGCCGGCTGTGGCTTTCAAACTTTTTTTTCAACTTACACTGGGAAATATAGTTTAGATGCAAACCCTGTGTCTGTAGATGTAGATTAATGAAAGATCATTTTAAAGGGAGATATTACCCTAACTTTACATTCTATTCTATTCTATTCTATTCTATTCTATTCTATTCTATTCTATTCTATTCTATTCTATTCTATTCTATTCTATTCTTTCCATTCCAAAAAAAAAAAGATTGCTAACCCATGAAATTGATTTCAGGACCTAAACCTCGTGACCATAGTTCGAAATGCTTGCCTTACTCCTTTTGCTTCCTTTACTCCTGCCTTTGGAGGATGCTGAGCTCCAATAATCAGAGAATCACGTGTAACCGTCAGAAGGGTATTTTTTTTATTATTATTATTTTGACATTTCTGTGTTTCAGGGCCAAAACCATTTGCAGGACTTGATTTGAAATTTTTGGTTTGATTCAATCAGGTTTCTCTTGTTCCTCTTCCAAAGCCCTTAGTCAGACTGGGGGAAGAGATAGTGTGTGAGGTCGGGTCTAGATTGTGGAGCTTTTATAACAGAGACAGACGATTTTTATTGGAGAGAGAAGTGATTCAAGATGAACTTTAGGAAGATCAACCTGTCAGTACTGCACTGCGTAGGGAGAAGTGGAAGGACTGGGAGCTGGAGGGGAAGACCATTAGTGAGGTGGTGGGGATTGAAGTCCCAAGGTGCTGTGGAAGGCATGGAAGCTGGCGGGATCAGGTGTAGAGAGAATGAGATTTGAGGACACATTAGACAAAGTAAGATAGGATTAAAAACAGCTAAGATTTGCCCACCAGGTGTGGCTCAGTTGATGGGGGCTTCCTTCCATTCACCAAAAGTTTGCAGGTTTGATTTTGCCAGCTCGATCCCATGGGGGCACATGTGGAAGGCATGCGATGGATGTCCTCAGGTGGTGATTGAATGAATAAATAAATAAATAAATAAATAAATAAATAAATAAATAAATAACTGCTTTGGCCAGTTGGCCTGTGGACCTAAGGGTCACGGGTTTGATTCCCATTCAAGGGCATATACCTGGGTTGCAGGTTCGATCCCCAGCCCAGGTCTGGGTGCATTCAGAAGGCAACCAATCTATGTGTCTCTCCCATAATGATGTTTCTCTCTCTTCCTCCCTCCCTTCCACTCTATCTTTAAAAAAAAAGCTCAGATTCTAATGGGAGTTTAGGAGTACCGTTGGCTGTAATCTCTCTTTCTTATTTTTTTGTGTGTTTTTTTACCCTTACCCACGGACATTTTTGCCTTTATCCTCAGATAGAGTGGGAAGGAGAGAGGGAGAAAGAGAGAGAAAGAAACATCCAAGTGAGAGAGACACCCCAACTGGGACCAGGGACAAACTGTAACCAACATGAGTGCCCTTAGCAGGAACCGAACCTCCGCCTTTCTAATCCACAGGCCGACACTCTAACCACTAAGCCAAACCAGCCAGGGCTAATCTCTCTTTCTATAGTGCACCTCTTAGTTGTTTGGGAGCAGTGGTTCTCAGGGGATATCCACAATGTTATTTGTCAGGACTTGGGAGGTGCTGCTGGAATCTAGCAGGCCAAGGCCGTGGATGCTGCTAAACATTCTTCACTGAACAGGACAGCCCCCATAACAAAGAATTATTTGGTGCAAAATCACTGTGGTGCTGAGTTTGAGAAGCACTGCCTTAGAATAGCAGTTCTTAATCTTTACCACATTCACCTTCAAGCTCTTCCGAGAACACTGTCTGTATATGAACTCAGGGAGTGATGTATATAATCATAGGAGGGTTCTTGAGCCAGTCAATGTGCACCCCTAGCTGACATAGCTCCTTAGTGGGGGAGGGGGGAGGGACAGCAATTGGAATCATCTAGGAGCTTTTTTTAAAAAATTGATTTTAGAGAGAGAGGAAAGGAGAGAGAGAGAAACATCAGTTCGTTTTTCCACTTATTTATGCATTCATTGGTTGATTCTTTTTTTATCCTCACCTGAGGACTTTTTTTTTTTTCCATTTTTTGTTCAGATATAGTGGGAGGGAGAGAGAGAGTGAGAGAGAAACATCGATGTGAAAGGGACACATCGAGTGGCTGCCACCCACATGACTAACCAGGGCCGGGGACAAACTGCAACCAAAGTGCACGCCCTTAGCGGGAACCGAACCTGGTTCTCTCTGGACTGCAGGCCGAAGCTTTAACTGCTGAGCCAAACCGGCCAGGGCATTGATTGATTCTTGTATGTACCCTGACCAGGGATTGAACTCGAAACCTTGGCCTATGGGGAGAGAGGATAAGAGAGGGACCAACCATAAACTGTGAACCTGCAACCTTGGCCTATCAGGATGACTAACTGAGCTACCTGTCCAGGACTCATCCAGGAGCTTTTTCAAACATCATGACCTTCTCTTCTCCCCTTCTACTCTTCAGGACCCCTATTGGGCCCTGGACAAAGAATTCCTTGTTCTTGTATGGTGATTTACAGTTTATAGAAGAATTACCCATTCAACATCTCATATGCCACTTGTCCTGTTTCATAGGTGAAACCAGCTCGGAGAAGTGATGGGATTTGCCCCAGGTCTTCACCCAGCAAGCCAGCGCGCTAAGGACCTGGGTGTTGGCATCTGAAGATGGTGGTTGTCGCTCTCTTATATGAAGGTAATTCTGTTGATCCACCATCAGCTGCTGAGCCAGGCTCTGCCTTTCAAGATCTTACTGATTAGGGCTTGGACCCAGGAGTGTCTCCTGGGTATTGGGTTTACGCGGAGCCTTTTATAACCGCCAGCAGAACAGCATTATGAGAGCATGCAGTCTGAACACTACCCTCAAATTATTCTGTACCTCAGTTTTGGGGGAAGGGGAAATAGGATATGAGAGGGACCAACCATAAACAGTGAAGCTCTTAAACTTTCCATTTATATCTGCCTAACTTAAAAACATTCCAGACACTCAAGAAATCTTTATTGAGTGAAAATTAAATGTTACAAAATAAACACATTAGGGCCTAAGTATTTACCTCAAAACAATGGCCATTCAAAGTAAAAAATGTATATCCACCTAGAATAAATATACATGTGTATAACAAATAAAAGTTGTATATGATAACTCACTTTTATTACATACAGTAGCGATTGATATAGTAATTTTTTTAAATTGCTGACTGGAACCCAAAGATGATAGGACCAATTACCAGGGCGATCTGAAAAGCAGAGCCTTAGACCAAAACAAAGGAAATAAAACTCACGATTTCATACAGATATAAAGTGAACGCATGTGAAAGCTTTTACTCAATTCATGAATCAAGGAACCAGTAAGATCTTACAACCAGTTTGCAAGAGAACCCAGAGAAGATTCTAGAAGACTATGGATCAGGAATATTGAAATGAATGTGCAGATGGAGGCAAAACTGGCTTCTCCCACAGTCGGAAGAATCATTTGCATGTCTATAGTATTTACATGGAGAGATGGAATTTATTGTCTATAGACTATCAGCTCTTAGTTCTCATTATTCTCTGTAATTTGCAGAGTTATAAAAATAGCTCAAAGGTACTGAAAGATTAGATTTGTATAAACTAGAAGGATATTCTAGACAATGCATAGTTTTTTATCATGAAATAAGGCTCATTATATTTGGCCTGATTATTTGCCTAAGTGCAGCAAGTATATTAATTTACCATGTAGGCTTTCTTGAATTTGCTTTGTTGGAAGTCTTCATAAGCAATCTCAGATTGAATTTTTAAAAGTCTGATACTTGCTTTCCTGAGGTATAGAAGCCATGCCCAGGAAGTTCTCGCCACCAAATTTTACCTGTACTAATAAATTTGCTCAAGTTCCTCTCTTCTTGAGGTGCCCACAATACCCCAAAGTATCTGAAACTTGTTAAATTGTTAAAGGATCATTTTTAAAAAGATAAACTCATGATATAAAATAAATAAATGTTAATGATTTTATTCAACACATTAATTAGGGAATCTGTACAGTGTGACAGATTTAAATGAGATAATATATGTAAAACATTTTATGTGGTGCCCAGCACAAAGAAAACCTCATGTCTTTCTTAAGTTGATCACTTAGCTGTGGGCCATCTATTTCTCAAGAGCATCTATTCCAGTGTGTCTCAGAGCACAGTCCATGGTCCACTAGTGCTTGTTAATAACCCAGATTCTTGTTAAAAATCCAGATTCTTGAATCCCTCTCCAGAATTTTGGATGTGAAATCCAAGCACCTGCATTTTTTTTCTCTTTTTTTAGAGAGAGGAAGGGTGAGAGAGAGAGAAAAACATCTATGCAAGATAGAAACATTGATCAGTCACCTCCCACATGTGCCCCGACCCAGGATTGAACCCACAACCTGGGTATGTGCCCTGACGGGGAAGCGAACCCACGACCTTCTGGTGTATGGGACGAGGCTCCCACCAACTGAGCCACACTGGCCAGGACAGCACCTTCATTTTTATCAAGTACCCTGGGTAATTCTTATGGAGACAAGAATTATACATACAAATAATGAAAATAAAAGTTTTATGAAAACTATATTTAGCTTCATTGTATGGATGCTCTCTTTCTATTCTGTTTCTTTTGTTGTTGTGGATTGATTTGAGAGAGAAACATTGCTTTATTACTCCACCCATTTATGTATTCATTGGTTCCTTTTTTAAAAATACATAAAAAAAAAAAAGATTTTTAGAGAGAGAGGAAGGGAGAGGGAGAGAGAGAGATATACTGATATGAAAGCAGAACATTGATCAGCTGCCTCCTGCACACCCTTTAACGGGCATTGAGTCAGCAACTGGAGCATGTGCCCTGATGCGGAATCAAACCAGCAATCTATCAGTGCATGGGACAGTGCCCAACCAATCGAGCCACTGACCAGGGCTTTCTGTTTATTTCTTGTATGTACCCTGACTAGGGATCATACCCACAACCCTGGTGCATCAGATCAACTGAGATAGCTGGCCAGGGCCTATTTTGTAAACACTGGTCTTAAGCAGGGTTTCTCAACCTTGGCTCTGTTGGCATTTTAGACCAGATCCTTTTTTGAGGTGGGTAGGGTGGAGAGGCTGCCCTGAGCTCTATGGGATGAATAAAAGTAACCTTCTTGGCCCCTACCCACTAGATGCTGGTAGTATGCCCTATCCCCTGGTTGTGAGAACCAAGGATGTCTCTGGACATAGCCAAATGTTGCCTAGGGGTCAAATCACCAGACTGAGAACCATCAATCTTAACCCGCTACATTGTTGGTACCTATGATCAGAACTATTTTAACTTATTTTAAGAGTTTAGGTAGGCCCTGAAGGCAGACCCAGGAGGTCTGAATGCTGACTCTGGTCCGTTCTTTGTTGACCTGGCTGACTGTTGATCTCAGGAACCTAAAATTAAGCCTTACATTCCTCCTGTGTAATATCAAATAACAGTAGACTTTAATTGATGAAGCTATTTGGAATATAATTAATAATGCATACAAAGGCCTTAGCTTAGTGCCAGGCACATAGCTGCTATTTGGCAAATATTAAATACTGTAATCACAGTCCTTTAGACTCCTGAAGTTCATATCAGTCAGAATCCAACTGGGAAAACAGAAACTGCTATAAGATTTCAACTGGGAATTTCATTGCTCTCCCTGGTGGTGGAAGAGCTGAGAAGCCAAACAAATTGGTTATCATCCCAGAGATTAGCAGTGGCTAGATGCTGCTGCCACAGCCAGGCCAGGGATCCAGGGCAGCAGGTGGGGCACCCTGCAAAGCTGGAGCAGAGAGTACTGGTGGGGCTATACCAGACAGGTAACTGGGGACACCCTCCAGTCTCCCACGTTTCCTTCCATTGGTCAGTTCAGCTGGAAGCCACAAAATAGTTGGTCTGTAGGGACTCATCCGTGCAGCTGACAGCTTACTCTGAAGGGGTCCGGCTATAGCTCTGTGCATCAGTGTCCTCAGTAACTGACATTTTTCACTTTAATCCTCTTTCTTCATCCTTTCCACCCAGGAAGTCTCTGAGGCACTTATTTTCTCTGTCAGCTTTCATTGTGTCTATAAGTTTGAAACTTGGGTTTTCAAAAACTTTTTGTTTTTAGTTAATTTTAGACTTAAAACATTGCAAAAATAGTACAAAGAATTCCCATGTATCCATCACCCAGTTCCCCCGAATGTCAATATCTTACCTAACATTGTACAGTGATCAAATCCAGGAAATCAACAGCAGTATAATACTAATAACCTAAACTATTGACCTTAGTCAGATTTCACCAGCTTTTCACCTAGCATCCTTTTTCTGTCCCAGGATCCCATGTTGCACTTAGTTGTTGTGTCTCCTCAGCCTTTCCTTGTCCTCAATGATCGTGACCGTTTTGAAGTGTCCTGGTCAGCTGTTTTGTAGACTCTCTCCACGTAGCTTGTCTGACTAGAACAGAACTACGTTTTTGGGACAGGAATATCACAGAGATGATGTGCCCATCTCAGTGCCTTTTATCAAGGAGGTCATTGAGTTAGTGTGTCTTTACTGGTGAAGTTTACCTTGCTCACTTATGAGGGTGTCTGCAGGACTTTTTCACTGTCACATTACTATCTTTCCCTATATAGTTAATAAATATCTTGGGGGAAATATCTTTAAGGCTAAGCAAGCCCTGCAACAATACCTTATTTTTATTCCTTTCTCTGTTTTTTGTTTATATTACTCTTTATTTTTTTGTATGACATCATGTCACATAGGAATGTTCCTGCTTTTTCTGTGAGTTATGGAGTTAAATTACCAAGCAAGAAGATACAGATTATTTTTAAAGCATTTATTTTCCCACTGTAAAAAGAGTTTATGTACATTGTAAACAATTTTGAAAAAATCAAAGAAATGTAAGGAGAAAATAAGCCACTGTTCTTACTATTAACATTTGAGATATTTCTTTTTTTTTTTTTTTTATAAACTACCTTTTCATGGAAATTCTCCAGTTCTTTTTTTTTTTTAATCCTCACCCGAGGACATTTTTAAAATATATTTTGTTCAGATAGAGTGGGAGGGAGAGAGAAAGAGAGAAACATTGACGTGAAAGGGACACATTGAGTGGCTGCCACCCACACGACCCAACCAGGGCCGGGGACAAACTGTAACCGAGGTACATGCCCTTAGCAGGAACCGAACCCGGGTCTCTCCAGACCGCAGGCCAACGCTCTAACCGCTGAGCCAAACCGGCCAGGGCAATATTTGAGATACTTCTTCCTAGTTATTTAAGGTTTTTTTTTTAAGTCATGAGTAAATAAAATAAAATTATTCAAGCCACACCAGCCGGGCATCAATAAATAAAAAATATGACGAGCCCGGCTGGTGTGGCTCAGTGGTGGAGCGTTGACCCATGTATCAAGAGGTCACTGGTTCAATTCCCAGTCAGGGTACATGCCCAGGTTGTGGGCCAAACCCCAGTGGGGGGCATGCAGGAGGAGGCCAATCCATGTTCTCTCTCTCTCTCTCTTCCTCTCCCTTCCTCTCTATCTAAAATCAACAGTGTGTGTGTGTGTGTGTGTGTGTGTGTGTGTGTGTGTGTATGACTGGAGTCAAGAAGAGAGAAGAAAAGTGAATTTAGGGCTAGATGTAATGCTGAACTTGTTAATTGGATTCTGCTTTCTAACTAATAAGTTTTGTAAATGCAAACATTTTTGGAATTCTTCTTGAATTATTTTTGTGACACGTTCAAACTCCCAAATTTGTGTTTTGGAAACATTGTGCCATGCATTTAATTTTGACCAAAAATATGTGGTGTGTTCATTTTTAGGGAGCAACATTGCCATCCTGTGGTCTTCTAGAGTATTGCTGTTGAGGATTTAGATTTGTGTTTTTATAACTGTTATGAGCCTAGGTTACATAATGCTTTAGGACTCTATCTGGTCTGCAGGTGGGTGCTTCCCACTATAACATGGAATAAAATAGCAAGCAATATGTTGAACACAATGTGTGCGCAACAGAAAATAAAGTGTTAAAGGTACAAAAATAAGAATGTTAATAGCTGTACATTCAAGTGGCAGGATTATGGGTGATTTACTAGTATTTTGTTCATATATTAGTAACTTATAAAATATCTCAGTACATAATTCATGCTACCCTTCTTTGCTGAGAAAACCAAGCCCAGGAGTGAGAAGCCTGTTTATGGTATAGAAAACTGGTTTTTATCCAAGTGGCCCTGGGACCTGACTCATATCTATAAGGATTTTTTAAACAGCTTTATCAAGATATGACTTATATACCATACAATTCCCTCATCTAAAGTGTATAATTCAGTGTTTTTAGTGTATTCACAGAGTCATGCAACCATCACTATAATCAATTTTACATTTTCATTTTCCCCAAAAGAACCCCCACACCCCTTAGCATTACGCCCTAATCCCCCACCCCCAATTCTATGAAACCACTAATCTGCTTTCTGTCTCTGTGGATTTGCCTTTCTGGATGTTTCATATGAATGAATTACACAATATGTGACATTTTGTGTCTGGCTTTTTTCACTGAGCATCATGTTTTCAAGGTTCATCCACATTATAATATGTGTCAGAGCTTTATTTCTTTAGTGCTGAATAAATTCTATTGTACAGATAGACCACATACAGGCATGAGCAAGTGTTTAAGAGGGAGAACATAGTTTATGGACCAACTAAGCCAGTGCTGATCCTGCTAGGTGGCCAAAGAGCAGAGTGGCTACTGCAGGGTTAAGGGGCCGCTGCCAGATGACTAGGGTGAAAAGGAAGGGGTGTGTGCTGTTATTGCAAAATTAAACCGTTAAGGGAAGGAGGGCTTTTTATTAGGTTTTGTTTTAGGATTCAAGAGACCTAAAAACCTTGATGGTCCAAATGCAAGGAACTAGTGGGGGCACGGAAGTTTGGCAATCAGATAGAGCAGGACATGAATGGTGGAGAAAGGGCCTCCCAGGGGGAAGGAAATATGCCAGGGGAGATGGATGGAGACACTTCATTTTCCAAATTAGGATAAAATATGTATGCCTGCTTTATCCAGAAAGTGGGGAGTGATAAGAACTTAGGAAGATACCTACCCCAAATGGATAAATTGTGAAACAGATAAAATTGTAAAATTCTGAATCATGGAGGGATACCTTTAATCAGATGTTAGGTAAATGGGGCATTACTACATATAGTTTGTTACATACTTTTCTTTTTTGTAAGTGTGGTATAATATACACAAAAATTGCAACTGAAATTATTTTTAAGTGTACAGTCCAGTGGCATTAAGTCCATTCACAGTGTTGTGCAGCCATCACCATCATCCATCTTTTCATCATCCCAAACATCATCCAGCATCAATTACACAATAACTCGCCCTCCCCCCTTCCCCTGGCCCCTGTCAACCACCATTTGACTTTTTTTTTTTAGTTAATATCTTTAATTAACCCATATACGATTACTTGTCTTCCAGTTTGTTGAAGCAATAGGTCAGATAACATTTGCCACAATAATGCCTGTCAAAATGGCTGGCCATAAAAACTCCCAATGAAGGCGACTGATTTTGCCATTCTCATCCACTTTGTAGTATTTCAGGACATCCAGCTTAACCTTCCTTCTCTTACACTTTTCTTAATCTTCTTGAGAGTGGTGTAAGACTTCTTCCTTTTCTTAGCACCACCAGGAAGTCTCAACACAAGATGAAGTGCGGTCTCCTTTTGAATGTTGTAGTCAGACAAAGTACATCCATTTTCTAGTTGTTTACCAGTAAAGATCAGTCTCTGCTGACCAGGAGGAATTCCTTTCTTATCCTGGATCTTGGCCTTTACATTTTCTGTTGTACCCAAGGGTTCAGCCTTCAGAGTGATGGTCTTCCCTGTAAGGGTTTTCACAAAAATCTGCATCTTGGCAGTGATTCCAGTGCAGGTAGTGAGTTGGGAAAAGTCTCAATTTGACTTTCTGCCTATGAATTTGATCACTCCAGCTACATCATATAAGTGGAATCCTTTTTTGATGGGCTTATTTCATGTTACAGACTTTTTAAATATGTAATTCTCATTTGCTTTCCTTTATACGTAATATTGTTGTTCCTTTCACTGGAATACCAGCCCTTTAAATGCAATTGTCTAAGGGCTTTAACATTTGTGTAGCATAGCACCTGGAGTTCAAAAGCCCTTTGACTTTAGATATTTCAAAACCATTAATAATATTCCATTCATCAAAAAGCCCTGAGGTTCAGTCACTTGCCAAGAACTGCTGTGTAATAAATGATCCCTGATCCTACTGGCTTAAATAACAGTAGTTTATTATTGATCAGGGTTTTATGGGGTGGCTGGGCTGTGCCTCTACTGGTTTTCTCAGGCACCTTCATGTGCTACGTCCAGCTGGAGGGTCTGCTGGGTTGAACAGTGCAAGATGGTCTTCCTCCATGCCTGGCAGTGCCTCTGACCCCTGCATGTGGCCTCTCATGCAGCTTCCTTCCCAGTCTCAGGGCCATGCCCCAGGAGGGCAAGGACTTCCAAACCCCCACAGCATGTTTCTTCCACACTCAACAAATCACACAGCAAGTGACCAGTCTGAGCTGGAGGCCAGCCCAGATTCAAGACCACAGTGCAAAGGGGCCTGCATACTTTATGGGAGAATTTGTGGTCATTAATCTACACTTTAAGGCCCTTTAATGGTTGAGAATGGGAACTGTCAATTGAATCTAAATTCTAGTCCATTGAGGCCTTTCCACAGCTGGTGGTCAGCCATAGTTAAAGGTCTTTTATTGTACTGGAACATTTTTCATTGATCCTGAATTTAAACAGCAATTTCACTTAAGAGGATCCTGACCTGGGGTTCCATGACTCCGCGTACAGTTCCACGGGAATGTGGGGTCTTTGCCATGCTGACCGCATTGGTCATAGTTGGTCATGTCGACACCAGCTGACCTGGAGGAGACCGGGCTTCGGTGTCTGATCGTCTGAGGCCGAGGCGGTTGGTGTGTGTGTTTGGGGGAGGGGTCCTGAAGCCTCCACTCCTGTCCAGCTGCGGGTCAGGGACCAACTGCCTAGTCCTGTAGGAGTGTGCATGCTGGCTGGACAGTGACCGCACCGCTTTGGGTGGCCTGAGTGGTCTGAAAGGCCTTCTGTGGAAGGGAGGGCCGGCTTCTCTGCGTTTTTTCATCCTGTCGGTGGAGACCGTGGGGAAGGCAGGAATGCGAGCAGCTCGCAGGGCACAGAAAGGACGCGGCGTAGGAGACCCGCCACTTTCTTTTGTCCAGGGACCCCGGAGCCTGCGAGCCAGAGGGGCGGACTGCAGGTGGAGGGACGTATGCTGGGGCCAATCAAACACGGGAAACCGGCGACCTGTAGGCGGGGCCTCAACGGTAATATTTTCCTGCCCAGAGAGGCTCTGCCTGGAAAGGTGCTGGTGGTGTCTTGCTTCTACTGGCTATGTCCCCCAGGTCCCTGCCCCGCCACGTCACGTTGTGGGGTGGGATGGGCAGGGCCGAGAAGGACCAAACAGGACAACCTGAGATTGGCTATGGGGGATGACACAGGAGGTTGGGCGGGGATGCCTACCAGATGTCCTGGTACCTGGAGGATGTATTTCCCTAGGTCTTGCCCCTCCAGACAGGGCTTCTTCGCTGCTGCCCGAGGCTGGGCGAGCATGTAGCGCAGAGACTTCTGGGGATGCTGTCAGGGATGTGGGGGAACCTGGGGCCCTGTGTTTGGGTTGACCAGGCCTTAGGGAGCTAAATGTGGGCATCAGGACAGGGAACTTCTCAAATAAGAATGGGGAGCCAGGAGGATTTGGAACCGCAGAACTTGGGATGTGAATGACAGCTCACAATGGGGAAAGTGAAATGTGAGGAGAAGCAGCAGTCTTATTTCTGGGCTATTACTGAGAGATGGGAAAGGCCCCACAATCTGCCCACCACCCATTCCCCCAAGAAGACAGAAAGACCACCCCACATTGATGCCCCTAGGCCCAGGTCTCAGGACACCCTGGTCCCCATAGTCCATTCTTTCTGCTTCTCCAGGCCAGAAGCCAGGGAGCCCTCAGTGACCACGGATTGTCTGGACAGCTTCACAGCCCTGTCCCTGCCCAGCTGAGGCAACACCAGCACCAGCTCAAGCACAAGGTCACTGCCTTCATGAGGCCCTGGCACCTCCTGAGTTCTGGGTGGCTCCAGGACTCCTGCCTGGGATGGGGGCAGGATCTAGTTGTGAGTCTAGAGAGTCATGCCTCCCAGGGCCAGGAGCTCTATGGTCTGCAGAATGTCAGGGTGAAAGAGTGTTAGGAATTCTGGAGGGTCAGTGACTTGAGCTCATGTCCCCAGTGCTTGTCTCAGATGCTTGGCGCTCAAGAACACCAGTGACTGTTATCCTGGACAAGGTACAGCGGGTGCCATGGGAGTGGGCTCCAGATCTTCCTCAACTAGACTCCCAGCTTGCCACTTCATGGCTGTGTTGGTCACCCTGGCTTGCCTCAGTGTCCTCCTGTGTAAACTGGGTCAGAAAGAATGGTGAACTTTCATAACATGGGGCTGGAAGGATAAATGGAAAAACCCACGAAACACTTCACCCTGTGGGCCTCGATTCATAGTAACTCATAATTACCAGTATCTTAGTGCCCCAGATTTCCCCCACCCACCCCATTCTCCACCAAGAGCCTTGTATTTGGCACATTTTACACACAGAGAAAGTGAGGTTTGGATGGGGGAAGTGACATACTCACTGCGGCCAAGAGGAACTGTCCAAGCAGAAGCACCAACCAGGGTTTCTCTAGTTCCATTCAGGTCCTTGCCCAGCCTAGTGCCCTTTATGCCCGACCTGCACCCCAGATCCATTCTGAGCCCCAGGCTTCTCCACTGATGGGGGTTTGCCTCCTCCCTTAGGACAGAGCCCCTGGACTGCCAGTTTCCTTGCCAGGGTGCAGGAGAAATCCATCTACTGGGACCTGAGTGTGGCCTGGGGGACAGGCCGTTGGTCCCAGAATGCCCCTGCCTGAGCCCAGCGAGCAGGAGGGTGACAGTGTAAAGTCTGGCCAGGAGCCGTCCCCTGAGTCCCCTGAGACTGGCATAGATGTCGTCCCCGCAGCCCCCACTAAGCCCAAGGAATTCTCCAACCTGGTCCTGCTAACGGCCTCCACTGAGAACGGGAATGGCGTGGGCTCCCTGCCCAAAGGAGTGCACTGCATCATGTCCCTGGAGATGTCTGGCCCTGACACCCTGGCTAGAACCCTCCAGATCCTGCCAACAGAGGAGCAGGGAGGGCCAGTCCAGCCAAGCCCCCAGGCCCTTGAGCAGAAATGCAGCAAGCCAGACACAGGTGAGTTCTGGGCCTTCTGCCCCTGACCCTGCATGCTCAGACTTGGGCCCCTGTGTCACCCCCTTTCCAGTGGGGTGGCTTTGGCAGTCCCATCCTTGCTCCAAGCCAAGCCTCCTTGTCTCTAATTGTGAACCTGTCCCAGGCTGATACGATGATCCTCATCCCTGTCCACCCCACCCCACCCATCCCTCCCATCCATGTCCCTGGCCTCATGTTTGCTCCATGTCAGCTAACCCAGCCTTCTTGCCCTTAGCAGCCCCCAAGCCCCTGGAGTTCCTGAGGACCCCGTTCGGGGGCCGCCTCCTCGTGCTTGAGTCCTTCCTGTACAAGCAGGAGAAGGCTGTGGGGGACAGAGTGTACTGGAAGTGCCGGGAGCACACTGAGCTGGGCTGCCGGGGCCGGGCCATCACCCGAGGACCTCGGGCCACGGTGATGCGGGGCCATTGTCACTCCCCTGATGAGGAGGGCCTGGAGGCACGGCGCCAGAGACAGAAGCTGCCCAGTCCAGCCCTCCCGGAAGGCTTGGGGGATCCTGAGGTCCTCAGAGGTCAGTTGGAGGAGCCATTCAAGGGGGTAGGCCCATGGCTGTGCCCTGAGGAGCCAGAGCCTGCCCCTGGGCTGGTGCTGAGCAAGCCAGCCCCGGAGGAGGAGGAGGGGCTGCGAGCCCTGTCAGTACTGAGCTTGCCCCCAAAGAAACGCCCAACACTGCTGACTGGTGAGTGCCTCCCCACCCCAGCTCCACTCTGGGACAGGCATGAACCCATGGGTCCTTTCTTATACCCAAATAGAAATGTGGGATTCTACACATTTTATAAATGTGCTCAGTCAAAACAACTTTTAAAAATATCAACATGTTCCAGTAGTCATTAAGCCCATGGGATAGAACTAGAGCTCCTGAACCAAGGGGTCCCAGGTCCTTCTGGAATTTTCTGATGCAGCAGGGTCTAGTGTGGGGCCCAGAAATATGAGTTTTAATGGGCTCCATGTGATTCTGGCAACATGTGCAGTTTGGGAAGGTCCGTCTGGTGGGAGAATTTTGAGCTATGTGTCCCAGTTTCAAGTTTCAGCCCCACCTCATGTAGCCGCAGAACATTTGCTGAATTTCTGCAGTTTTGGGAGCTTTGTCCTAAGATTAGGCATTTGACACGTGGGAAGTGCTCAGCACTGGCTCAGTGTGTGATGGCACTGAGTAACTTGTAGGTGGAATTTCTGTGCAGTTTTTATTACCCATAACTAGGAGGAGGGCTTGGTCCCGAAGGTTGGGTGCCTCCTGACCTGGAAAGGATCCAAGGACTCAAGGATTTAAAAGCATCTGCTGTGCTGGGTACCTGGTACCTGGGGCAGGGTGAAGGAGAGAGACTGGTTTTACATTGTGTATCTTTTGATACCATTTGTATTGTATGGCATGTGCAAGTATTACTCAAAAATTAGATAAAAATGTCAAACAAACCCTAAGAAAAAGTATGATCTGGAGTGACTGAGGAGGCTGTGGAGTCAGTCAGCTTGGCCCTTCTGAGTGTATGATCTTGGATGTGGCCTCCTCTCTGACCACCAGGAGAGGAACTGAAACTCACCTAGGGTCTCGAGGGGAGGAGGTGTTCAGGGGGATGCATTTGGACCGAGTTTGCCTGACCACACATTCCGCTAGCAGCGCTTCCCGGCCTCTTCCCCTTCGACCAGTGTGACTGCGGGTTCCTCCTCCAGGAGAGCGCCCGTCTTTGGAGTTCCTGAGGACCTGTTACGGGGGCAGCTTCCTTGTGCACAAGTCGTTCCTATACAAGCGAGAGAAGGCTGTGGGAGACAAAGTGTACTGGACATGCCGGGACCATGCACATCATGGCTGCCGCAGCCGGGCCATCACCCAGGGCCAGAGAGTCACCGTGATGCGTGGCCACTGCCACCCACCCGACATGGAGGGCCTGCAGGCCCGGCGGCAGCAGGAGAAGGCCACAAAAACACTGCAGGCCAAGCGGGGTGGCCCCGGGGGCCAAGTGGATAAGCTGCTCCAAGGTGTGGACAGCCTGCTGTACCGCAGGGGGCCTGGCACCCTGACTCTCACCAGGCCCCATCCCAGAAAGCACACAAAGCCCCAGGCCCTGCAGGGATCTCCAACTGGGGACCAGGAAGAGGGCCTGGGTGAGTCCTCCATACCCAGTGGCCAGAGCTGGGGCCCCCTTGAGTCTTATTTCCTGAGGACCTGGGAGACAAGAGGGGGTGGCATCAGGCCTGGCACAGCCTTTGCTGACCACCTACCCCATTTCTTATAAGGAGGCCCTGAGTTCTTGAAGACACCTCTAGGGGGCAGCTTCCTGGTGCATGAGTCCTTCCTCTACAGACGGGAGAAGGCCGCTGGCGAGAAGGTGTACTGGACATGCCGGGACCAGGCCCGCATGGGCTGCCGCAGCAGGGCCATTACCCAGGGCCAGCGAGTGACTGTGATGCGAGGCCACTGCCACCCACCTGACCTGGTGGGCCTGGAGGCGCTGAGGCAGCGGGAGAACTGCCCTGGTGTGGCCCAGAGGGGGAGTTCAGGTGAGACAGATGGGGAGAAGGCCTAGGAACAGGCAGGAGACCCAGCCAGCCTTTCCTTCTTGACCCCCATGTTCCCGAGCAAGCACCCTCTTTCCTTACCAGGAGCACTCTCCTCTCGCTTTTCCCTTTCCTTATCTCTACTCCTTGACCACCACCTCACCACATTCCCCAAGCAGACTCAGGATGACTTCGGGTAGTCCCACTCACTCAGGTAGTAGTCCTCACCCTCCTGCTTAGACCAGCTTCAGCTGCCCCCAAAACTCTACAGCATGTGATCAACCCACGCTCCCTTTTCTCTTCCTTCTCCCTTTTTTTTTCCTTAAGAATTTATAGAGAAAGCTAATTGCACATGGCCAGTTTCTCATTTTTACAGAGTGAATGGATAATATAGTGCCTAGTAAGAAGCACGTCCCACAGACCAAGATTAAAGAACAGAATCAGGGATCATGTAATTAATCAGCTACTTCTCTCTCCAGCTCTTCTCCATAAGTATCTATTGTCTGCCCTAAGGGAGCCATTAATGAGGGTCACAGCCCCTCGCTTTTCATCCTTGCCCACTTGGTCAGCCCCACAGGGCCTGTTGTTTGGACTCTCGCAGTCACAGTTACATAAATGACGTAAATATCCCTGTCCTCATCTTGCTAAGAGGAGCAACTTCAGCCCAGCCTTCTCTACTTACTCAGCTCTTTGCTCATGTCTGAGAAACATCTGCCTCTCCTTCAGAGGTTATCGGTTGTATAATTTTCTGAGTCATCTGAGTCACCTTTAGAGTTTTTATAGCCCTAATGTTCTCTCAAACTTGAGATTTCTGATTGTATTTCTTTCTGACTCTCTTTTTATTCCATTTCCATGTAACTTCTATGTACCTGGAGACGAAGCTACAAGGCACACAGCAGTCCCGTCCCATCCTCACCACCAAGTCCCACCCCCAATAATCATTCTGAGCTCCTTGCCTTGTTTCTTTTCTTTTCTTTTCTTTTCTTTTCTTTTCTTTTCTTTTCTTTTCTTTTCTTTTCTTTTCTTTTCTTTTTTATTAATTTTTAGAGAGAGAAACATCAATCAGCTGCCTCCCACACATGCCCCGACCAGAAATCAAACCTGCAACCTGGGTGTGTGTTCTGACCTGGAATTGAACCCACTGCCGCCACTGCTCCTTGGTGTACTGGGCAGCGCGCCAACCAGCTGAGCCACACAGGCCAGGGCTACCATATTTCTTAATTGACTTTTTTTTTTTTTTTCTTTTTTTTAGAAAGAGAGGAAGGGAGAGAGAGAGAAACATCCATGTGAGAGGGAAACATGATAGGCTGCCTCCTGCACACCCCCTAGTGGGGATCGAGCTTGAAACCCAGGCATTTGCCCTGACCAGGAATCAAACTTGAAACCTTTATTTTATTATTTTTATCCTCACCCAAGGACATATTTTCATTTTTTTGTTCAGATAGAGTGGAAGGGAAAGAGAGGAAGAGAGAGAGAAACATTGATGTGAAAGGGACACATCAAGTGACTGCCACCCGCACGGCCTGCAACCGAGGTACGTGCCCCTAGTGGGAACCGAACCCGGGTCTCTCAGGACCGCAGGCCAATGCTCTAACTGCTGAGAAAAACCGGCCAGGGCTCAAAACCTTTCTTGAATTGGATGACACCCAATCAACTGAGCCACACCAGTCAGGTCTACCTTATTTCTTGAAATGTGCTTCGACCGCTACCATCCGTCTCTTCAATCTCTTGTTGCCTTCCAATGAGAGAAAGTATTGGTAAGAGAGAGAGAGAGAGAGAGAGAGAGAGAGAGAGAGCGCCCAGCCAGTGTGGCTCAGTGGTTGAGCATCGACTCATGCACCAAGAAGTCTCTGCTTTGATTTCCGGTCAGGGCACATGCCCAGGTTGTGGGCCAGACCCCCCCAGTGGGGGGCATGCAGGAGGCAGCCAATCGATATTTTCTCTCATCAGTGTTTCTACGTCTCTCTCCCTCTTCCTTCCCCTCCCTATAAAAATAAAGAAAAAAAAATTTTTTAAAAGAGAGAGAGAAAGTAAGGATTCAGCTGTCACCCAGTGCCCCCTTTCAATGCAGTTACTGCAGTTTTTGTTTTTGCTTTATTATATAAATCTGTTCACACTGGGCTAGGAATACATTATGATTGTTTCCTCCTCACACAGCCAATTGATTAGTCAGCCTAGTATTCTGTGCCCATCTCTCCTCGTCCTCACCCAGCAGCAGACAGCTCCAGGTTTTTTGCTCCAATCTGACTGTGCCCTGCCTCCCCATCTCCCTGGGGTCCCCTAGCTGGACCCTCATCTCTAAGTCTCTCTTTCTCTTGCTCGGTTTACTCGCTTGTCTTTTGAAATCCCTTCTCTAGTCACTACCCTAGCAAGAGTCCCTGGAGGCTACACTGTTGAAACCATGCGTGTCTGAAGGTGTCTTGATGGAGAGTGTGGCTATTTGTGAAGCTCCGGGTTGTTAATCCTTCCTTGGTTGTATGGTCTCTGTTCTTGAATGACCCGAAGCTTTCTGAGGACTGATTCTATGCAAGTGATGGGTCAGTACCCACAAGGAGGAACTTCCCACATGGTCTAAGACAGGCTGCTGACATTCTGGGACTTGGGCATGGAACATGAGCGAGAAGGGTCACATTCCAGATGCAGACTTCCACGTCCTTTTCTCCACCCTGAAGATTCTTCCTCCCCCAGATACAGACACCCTTATATCATTGCTCTTCAGATAAACAACCCACGGCCAGGCCCCCTGTGTAGTGCTGTCCTGGACCCCACCTTCGGAGGTATCTCAGGCTTTTCAGACTTGGCCACTGGACTCCACTGTTATCGGTGGTTTCCCCTGCAGGCTGACTTGCCAAGTCTGTGACCACACAGCCCCACCTCGAGCCTCTACCATTATGTCAGCATCTCTGCTCTGCAGCTCTCTATTCCCCTCTCCAAATTTCTGGCCTGGTGCTCGGTGCCTTCATTCCTCAGGGAACATTTTCATCAGTGCCAGAGGAACAGAAACATGCCCTGAGGTCACCTAGCTCCATTCTACATCCAGATACCTCTACCCTCTCCAGGGCGTTCTCACCCCCCATGGCTTCCACTGTTCTCTGCTGTGGGGAGACAGACTTCTCAGTCTGTCTCCAGCTCCTCTGGGTAGTCCCTGTGCCTGGACAAAGGGAAGAGATTCCTTTGGGCAGAAGGGTTCAGCCACCTCCCTCTCAACATGGCCAAGACATGGCCCACACTATTGCTCGCCTCCTCCTGCTGCCCTCAGGTCAGATGCACCCAGCCTGGCTCCCGGGGGAGCTGACTGTGCGTGCACAGAAGGCACTCACACCTGCTCACTTTATTGCTGATTACTTGTTCCCCAGAGGGGCTGTCCACTTTTTCTTCCAGCTCAGCAGGGATCACATGACTGGTGTGCGCCCCATTGCAGGCACCTGGGATAAGATAGTGGATACAGCAAAGACTCCCCTTTTCTGTAGGCACCATGAGAAGGGGGGGCAGCCTTCTGTCTTCAGGGGCCTCCACCTCACCAGTCTCTCACCTTCCCTTCTCACCAGGCTCTGGAATGGAGCTCCTAGGAACTGAGGCTAGGTTGGATTTGAAGCTGGTGGGATGGGTGTCTGTCCTGGGCTTCAGGGTCCTCTAGCTGTGAGGAGGTGGGCACAGCATGGAGTGGGGCTTGTGGAGGTCACTCCAGGGCCCCCAACCACCTCACTGCTCTGTTCCAAGGCTTGGGTTCCAGGCTTTCCCACTCCTGATGCTTCTTCCCATTTCTCCCCAGGAGGCCCTGAGTTCCTGAGGACCCCTCTGGGGGGCAGCTTCCTGGTGCATGAGTCCTTCCTGTACAGGCGGGAGAAGGCTGCTGGCGAGAAGGTGTACTGGACATGCCGAGACCAGGCCCGCATGGGCTGCCGCAGCAGGGCCATCACCCAGGGCCAGCGGGTGATGGTAATGCGCAGACATTGCCACCCGCCGGACCTGGGGGGCCTGGAGGCCCTGAGGCAGCGCGAGCAGTTCCCCAGCCCAGCCCAGAGGGAAGGTTCAGGTGTGGGCAGGCACTGGGCCCTGGTCTCCCTGTTGGCCTGGCAGCCCCTAGGGCCAACCCCAAACACAGGCTGGAGGCTACCTGCTAGGACCTTCCATCCATGGCCCATGTCCAGTGGGGTCCAGCCATGCACATCAGTCTGTCTGCTTGGGCTGGAGGAGAGGCTACATCTGGGTTCCCCACTCAGACCACTGGAGAAAAGGGGGCGGGGCCAGGGTGGCATTATCTGTGCTTGGCACCATTTATGGGGCAATGTGTCTGGGCCTTGGGGACCCTTTATCTCCACTCGCTGGGCCTCTCTTTTGTCTATTTTCCTCTGTCTCCTATTTCCCTTCCCCCTGCCACCCTCCCACCCCAGTTCCCTTTGGCCACCCCAATCTCGCATGACCTTTCAGTTAAGGTTCTTAACGGTCTCATGAGAAAGCCCTGGCCAGTTTGGCTCAACAGTTAGAGCATTGGCCCATGAACCAATGAGTTGCAGGTTCAATTCTGGTCAAGGGCACATACCTCTGTTGTGTTGGTCCCTGGCCCTGGTCGGCGTTGTGTGGGAGGCAACCAGTCAATGTGTCTCTCTCACATCAATGTTTAAAAAAAAAATCTCTAACAAAAATAAATAAATTAATTTTTTAAAAATTAAAAAAAAAAACCACAACTCCCATGAGAGAGAGTTGATTGGTTGCCAGCTGGCCAAAGGTAGGGTGGACAGGGAGCTGGGAAGCCTTTGGTGCACTTAGTTCAGACCAGCTATGGGCTTCCCAGAATGTTCCAGTTCAACCCCCGCCCTGGGGTGCTTGCCAGCAAGTGTGGAGCCCAATCCAAGTCCAGAGAGGCCTGTAGGAAACTTGAGTTTGGATGGCTACAGAGCCAACCTCCCCAGGCAGCACCAGAGCCCTTAGAGACAGCCACTTGAAGGTGTCAGGGCTCTGGGCTCTGTATGGGCTGGTGATCTGAGCTTCAGTCTCCAGGGCCCTGAGGCACAGTCAGGGGTAGAGGGCAGGGACCAGAGCGAGTCCTGCAGGGTGATGATAGTTTCCTGGTTGGAGCAAGCTGGTGGGAATAAGGAAAGAGCCTCCATCACTGGCACCTAGGCTCCTTCCCGGCTTCTAAGGCCTGGCCCAGGCACCCCACTCACAGCATTATGATCCTTCTAGGAGCCCTCCAGCCTCTGGAGTTCCTGAGGACTTCCCTCGGGGGGAGGTTCCTGGTGTATGAGTCCTTCCTCTACAGGAAGGAGAAGGCTGCCGGTGAGAAGGTGTACTGGATGTGCCGGGACCAGGCGCGGCTGGGCTGCCGCAGCCGGGCCATTACCCAGGGCCAGCAGGTGACTGTGATGCGAGGCCACTGTCACATGCCTGATCTGGTGGGCCTGGAGGCGCTGAGGCAGCGTGACCGGCTTCCTAATGCAGCCCAGCAGGAGGATCCAGGTACAGACAGGGATGCGGGGCGGAGGAGGGGTTAAAAAGATCTGTGGGATCTTGGTCTCTGCCAGCCTAAAGTTCAGACACCTCAGGGGATAGGCACTGTCTGGGAAGTTTTGTGCCCTGGCCCTTCTGCCTTTCCAGAGTCTACTATCTGTCCTCTCTACAGGCTGCTTCTCCTTATCCTGAAAATACACCTAAATGTGTCCCATCCTCACAAATTACACTTTTCTCTTTCTTTTATTCTAAGAAGTCTTAACTTTTTACTGATTATAGTCTCTTTTGAAAATATGATGAAAAAATATAGACCACCCAGAAGAACATATTAATGTGTGAGCACATGCACATGTACACACACATGTAAAGCTTTACAAAAAATGATCTGTGTTGAACTGAAATGAGTTCTCTTCACATAAACAGAATATAAAACTAGTCTTTAGAAAGCATTGCATATCTCATATTAATTCATGTAAATATTAAGGGTCATATCTTATAAAACACAGAAATGAATCCAAGTTGTTTAAAACAATCAAAAGAAACTTGATTTCTCCCTAAAACAAAAGAGATTTCCAAGAGAAAGCCACTGTTTGGATTAAGCAGGAATTGGACGTTGTAGAGTGCCTTTGGCGTGGTAAAGGGCGGATCGTCTTGGATATCTGGTTGATTCCCAATCTTTTTTATGACAAGGGCTGACTCTGAGGATCTCAAATAGATTATTTTACCAGGCACAGGTAGTTTGGGGCTGCCCAATGACTCCCCAAATCAGCATCATTCTACCTGGTTTTCATTATCCTCAAGGCCTTGAGGTCATCATTACAAGGTGTGGTCACTGGCTCTAGCAGCTTCAACAAGAAAAGAATTATTAATCCAGGTTTTCAATTTTTGTTTTCCTCAGAAAAGATAAAGCTTCTGCCTACAGTTCAACTGTGCTTCAAGACTTGTTCTCCTGAAAGCCAGCAGATTAATGGGTAATTGTATTAGTTATTTAATGCTGTGTCACAAATTACCCCCAACTTAGTGGCTTACAATGACCAATATTTACTATCTCCCAGTTTCTGTGGGTCAAGATTTCAGGAGTGGTTGGACTGGGTGGTTTTGGATCAGGGTCTCTCATAAGGTTGAAGAAAATATGTCAGCTGGGGCTGCAGTCCTCTGGAGGCTTGAGTGGGGCTGGAGGAAGAAGTTCCAAAATGGCCCATTCACTTAAATGACTGTGGGCTGGAGGACTCAGTGTCTCACCATGTGGACCTCTCCTTAGGGCTGCTTGAGTGTCCTCAAACATGACAGCTGTCTTCCCCCAAAATGAGTGAGAAGGCAGAGCAAGAAGAAAACCACCAACAATAGCAGAGTCCATATTCTTCTCAAGCACACATAGAACGTTCTCCAGGATAGACCATATCTGAACTATAAAACAAGACTCCATACATTTAAAATAATTGAAATAAAAGTGTGTTATCTGACCACAGTGGAATGAAACCAGAAATCAGTAACAGAAAAAAATTTGGGAAACTCACAAATATGTGAAAATTAAACTACACACTCCTAAATAACCAATGGCTCAAAAAAAAAAAAAAAAAAATCACAAGGAAAATTAGAAAATATTTTGAAATGAACAACATGGAAACACAACATACCAAAACTTATGGGATACAGCCAAGTAGTGTTTAGAGGGAAATTTATAGCTGTAGAAGGTTATATTTTTTTTTAAAAATCTCATGACTCAGTGGTTAGAGTGTCCACACACGAAATGAAGGGTCTCGGGTTTGATTCTGATCAAGGGCATATACCTCAGTTGCAGGTTCGATCCCTGGCCCCTGTTGGGGTCATGTGGGAGGCAACCAATTGCTGTGTCTCTCTCATATTGATGTTTCTCCCTCCCTCTCTCTAAAAAAAAAAAAAAATCAATGGAAAAATATCCTCAGGTAAGAATTAACAAAAAAAAAGAAAGAAAAGAAAAGAAAGATCTCAAATCTATAACTTAAACTTTCATGTTAAGAATAGAAAAAGAACAAAATAAACTAAAAGTAGAAGGAAGGAAATGATAAAGATAAGAATAGAAATTAAGCCCTGCAAGTGTGGCTCAGGGGATTGAGCACTGTCCCATGGACTGAGAGGTTCCAATTGGATTCCCGGTCAGGGCATGTGCCCAGGTTGCAGGCTCCATCCCCAGTAGGGGGTGTGCAGGAGGCAGCCAGTCAATGTTTCTCTATCACATCGATGTTTTTCTCTCTCCCTTCCTCTAAAAATCAATAAAAACATATATATATATCACCCAAGGACATTTTTCCATTTTTTGTTCAGGTAGAGTGGGAGGAAGAGAGAGAAAGAGAAACATCGATGTGAAAGGGACACATCGAATGGCTGCCACCAGCACAACCAACCAGGGCCGGGAACAAACTGCAACCAAGGTACATGCCCTTAGCGGGAACCAAACCTGGGTCTCTAGGGACTGCAGGCCCATGTTCTAACCGCTGAGCCAAACCAGCCAGGGTGCAATCTCATGTTTTAAAGGAATAGATATGATGTATGTATATGTGTGCATATAAAAATGATCTAGTTGCCCTAGCTGGTGTGGCTCAATGGTTAGAGTGTTGGCCTGTGCACTAAAGGGTTGAAGGTTTGATTCCTGGTCAAGAGCACATACCTGGGTTGCAAGTTCTATCCCTGGCCTTGGTTGAGGCATGTGCAGGAGGCAACCAATCAATGTGTCTCTTCTCTACCCCTGTCCCCCTCCCTTCCACTCTCTTTAAAAATCAATGGAAAAGCCCTGCCACTTTGGCTCAGCGGTTAGAGCATCGGCCTGCAGTCCAGAGATACCCATTTTCGGTTCCCGCTAAGGGCACGTACCTCGGTTGCAGTTTGTCCCTGGCCCTGCTTGGTCATACGAGTGGCAACCACTCGATGTGTCTTTTTCACATTGATGTTTCTCTCTCTCAAAAAAATCAATGGAAAAAATATCCTTGAGTGAGGGTGATGGTTTTCTCTAGGGAAAAGTATTACAGAAATCCTTAACTTTTTATGTTATCTGTTTCTGCCATGTTTGGATTTTTATAATGAATATGTGTTTCTTTGTAATCAGAAAAGTCAAAGGTATAAAACCTGACGGTGAGACTCAGTGAGGCCAATCTCCTTGCCGACTCTAATAGAAGAACTTCATGTGTCACCAGCATCAAGAATGCTCCATGTCTACAAGGGACCCCAGCATTTCCCACCAAGTTAACTGCTGCTGGATAAAAGCTCTTCTTCACTCTTTCAAAGCATCAGCAGCCTTCACATTTTCTCAAGAGGCCTCCCAGGAGGAATACTCTGGGTGTCTTCATGCAGGCAAGGAAGAGTGCCGGGAGCGGGCAGCTTGCAGGTGTGCGTGATGTGGGGAAAGCCTGACCTGCAAAAGATCTGAAGAAGCATCTTTTGACAATGTCACTCTTCCCTGTTCTGACGCCCCAAGCCACAAACACCTATCTGTTTTCAGAGCACGACGCTTTGCCAAGGACTTTCCAGTTGGGTGTGGCCCTGCTTGGGCCAGGGCACGTTTGGGGAACTTCCCGATTTTTGGAGCTGAGCTGAGCTGCCCTGCCTAGCTCCAGCCACTCAGGTGTTTTCTGGACAGGTGCCATGTGAGCCTTTGTGCCCCTCGGCTGTCTGCTGCTAGGGCACAGCCATTCCTCACGGTAACAGAGCAAGCTAAACCAGAGGCCCCATTACACACTGTCAGACTTTCTTTCCCTCACTCTTTTCTAACTTAAGTCCAGTGGCCATGATCACCATGGTAGGTGTGGTTCCTGGCAGTGGGAGCAAGCCTGAATGTCCACAGGAAGCCAGCATTGGGCAGACTCTATCTGGCTGAGGCCAGCAGGGTCCTGGGTCACCACATTTAGCTGATGCAGGAGAGGCAGACCTGGATGGCGGCAGAGGTGCATCTCTTCCTCCAGTCTGGTAACAAGCAGAGAGCTGGCTTAGTAGGTCCAGGAGAAGCAGGCTGATGTGCCCTGGAACTCCAGAGGCTGCTGCTTGCTAACAAGGACTCATCTTCGACAGCGAGGCTCCTTACCCTCATCCTAAAATTGCAGAGGGAGCACAAATGGCAGGCTCTTTCTCTCCTAGCAAGCTGGCCTTGGAGCCTGCCATCCAGCTATGGGACAGTGACATCTTGGGTCCCCCCACTGTCCCTCTGCTTATTCATTTCCCTCAATAAACCTTATTTTATATTTCACCATGTAGAGCGAGCTGGTGTACGTGTCCACATCCCCTTTGCAGCAACAGCTGGCCATCATGAAGCCACACACTCCACGTCTCAGTGGCATATGGTCGGAAAACAGTTTGGCTAGAACCTCACACAGGCCCGAGGTGCCTGGTAAGAAGCACTGAGCCACAACCCTTGCCACCTGTAGAGCCTGCACTGTCTGCCCATTCTGCAGCCTCCCCAGTGGGGCCTGCAGGCCCACAACTTCCCTAGTCCGAAGCCCCACGGCTGTCACCTCCGCTGGGCTCTAGGCACCCAGAAGTTGGGGTGCAGTGTGAGAAGAATCAAAAGAGGATGCAGGCTTCTGTTTTCTCCTGGACGTTCATGTTTATTGGGCCAGTACACTCTTCCTCTTCTCTCCTGCTTTGACCTTAGAGGACAGATGGATAGTCCATGCTGCTTGGACTGAGGATGCCAGATAGACATAAATTTGGACATTGCCATTGCCTTGGGTGACCTCATGGCCACTCAACCACTGAACTCCAGAAGTGTCTTCTAAGTCCACTTCCTGAACGGTTCCAGAGCCACAGAGATGTCCCTTGCCCCATCACTGACAGAGAGTAAAGTGCTCAGGGCGGATCCCTCTCTTGGAAGCTGGGGTCCCCTCTGTGGACAGTGACATCTCAGAGAGGTTGTGCTTTCCTTCCCTTCTCTCATTCTGCTGCTAGTTTTTCCCAATAAACCTTATTGTGTCTGTAACGTGGTGTGGGTGGTGCCTCTGTGCCCTTTTGCATGACAATGTCTCAATTATAAAATTTAAAATAAAAACTTCACAAGGTTTAGCAAAAGTATCAGCAAGGAACTCAAATTTTATGTTTTTTTTAAATTGATTTTTTAGAGCGAGCAGAAGGGAGAGAGAGATAGAAACATCAATATGAGAGAAATATCAGCAATGCCTCCTGCATGCTCCCTACTGGGGATGGAGCTTGCAACCCAGGCATGTGCCCTGACTGGGAATTCAACTGGGACCTCTCCGTCCATGGGAGGACACTCAGTCCAATGAATCACACCAGCTTGGCAGGAGCTCAAAATTTTTAAATGGGGAGCAGTGGCCAGCTCTAGGAGCCTCAGCCCCCAGTCCCTGTCCCCAAGGTTGTAAGTAAGGTGAGCATCAACAGAAATGTTTCTCATGGCCCCACTTCCCCTTCTGGCCCCAGCCCAGCCTCCTGTCCCCATGTCCTCTGTCAGGAAGACTTCAGCAGGGTGGAACTAAGGACCTCCTTTTCGCTCAAGTCAGCAGATGCTTCTCAGAGCTTGCCCTCTGGCACTGACCACCCCTTTCTTGATCCCTTCTCTGGGTTCACCATCTGCTTCCTATATTCCCTCCCGATCTCTTGCAAGGGATCCTCTGTCCCCCTAACTAACCTATAAGCCTGGTGGTGGTTGTTCTGGAAACTGGACCTCAGCCCTTTTTGGCCCAACCACTTTCAAGATTCATGGTTCGTCAGTCTGCAGCACCAGCCTGGCCCCACTTACTGCAACCAACCCTGTGTGTCCAGCTGCCTCCAGAGTCCTGGCCCAGGGTGTCCTGTAAGCACCAGAGGCAGGTAACAAAAGGGAGTATCTACCTGTTGTCCTTCTTGTCTGAAGGCCCCACCACACAAGTAGAACCCAGAGCCACCCTTGACACTATCCTGCCTGTCCCTACATGTCCCATCAGTTGTGTCCACTAATGCCACCCTGCCTAGTTCTCTTTTTATTTTATTTTTTTACTAAAAGCTTTCCTGAGATATAGTCCACATACCATAAAATTCACCCATTAGGTCATAGCAGATGTAATTAGTTAAGATAAGGTCAATCTGGAGTAGGGAGAGCCCTAATCCTATATGAGTGACAGACATCCTTATAAAAAGGGGACACAGAGATGCACACAGGGAGAATGCCAGGTGAGATGAAGTCAGAGATCAGGATGACTGATGATTCTGCAAGGCAAGGAATGAAAATGATGGCCAGCAAACCACCAAAACCAATCTAGAGGCATGGAACAGATTCTCCCCCACAGCTCTCAAAAGGAACCATCGCTGATCTCAGACTTCTAGCCTCCGGACTGTGAAACAATACATTTCTGTTGTTTAATTTCCCAGTCTGTGGGGCCCCTCAGCAGGGGGAAAAGACCCTGGCCTTTCTTAACTGGAGGTTCCCTGAACCACCTGGGACTGGATCTTGCAGTGGAGATATTGCCCCTCATCTTAGTGCCTGAGTCCTGGAGCTAAGCACCCCCTCCCTCTCATCTGAAACCCCCTTTGCAGAAGACTAAGGCAGTAGGGAGTGGGTGACGGAAGTGCTGTGGACCAAATGGGCAGTCATTTTTTGTCCAACTTCCTTCCAGGGAAGGGGCTAGATCCTCCTCTCTTCCCCCCATTGACTCCCATTCTGCTCATGGGGTTCTAGTTGTCCCTGTCCTCCACCTCACCCTTTCCTTGGCAGGCAATGAGGCTCTCTGTTCACCCTCATCTCCCAGACCCTAGCCCAGGCCTGCGACCCTGGGGTGCTCTCTGTCATGCCACTGAGCCTTTGTAGTGCTAGTGTTCAAAGGCAGGAAAGAGAAGGGGGCCCAGTACATGGGTGGCTACCCAGTCACCAGGTGAAACTCCTAGTCAAGTGCCCTGCAGGGCCAGGAAACTGGGAGGAGAGCCCTGGCCAGCCTGGCCGCTGACTGGGCTCCCTCAGGAGGTGAGTCCAGCGCCAGCCTTGAATCTCAGCAAATCCTCCTCCTTTGAATGCTGCTCCTCTGTGTGCTACTCCCACCCACCCACCCAAGAGCCTGCGTGTGAGGCACTAACTAACTGTGAGGTCTTCTTCAGTCTCATCACTGCCAGCGGCACCTTGGCCTTTCTAGAACTTTCCCTGTGCCCCTCATCTGGGGGGGAGGGGGCAATACTGACATGGTTGAGACAGGTTCTTCCAGGCTGGACAGCCTGGTGTGGGCCTGGTGGAGGGGGGGGGGGGGAGACGCTGGCCTGAGGGGCAAGGGATCTGGGCTGACGGATCCGTTCTGGGCCTCCGGCCACCACCCATCTCCTCCCCGTCCCCTCCCTAGCCCTCAAACGCACCTGCGCTGGCCTCTCCCCAAGCCCTGGGGGCAGCCGGCGGGCGGCGCTGGGAGATCAGAGAACTCAGAGGAGTTGGGCCCAGGGGGAGGGGGCAGGGAATTTCCCCCCACGCCTGCCCGGGCCTGTTAACCTCCCCCTCCCTCGCGGAGGGGAGGGGGGTACCGCTGGGGGAATTCCATCGCGCTGCGACGGCTCCGGCGAGCCTGGGCTGGGGGGTCTTAGGGAGAGAAGGGGGAGGAGAAAGAGGGACAGGCTGGGACCAGGGGCGCAGCTGCCTTCTTCCCCAGACACCAGCTGCCCCTGCCTGTCCAGGACTGAGTGTCCACCATTCCCACCCGTCTCGAGGGTGCGGGAGCAGGGAGAGTGGCACTTCCTCCTGCAGGCCAGAGGCGTCGGGACCTGTGGAGGGAAGGGCGTGAGAGTCCCAAAGAGGGTATGCGTGTCAGCATCTGACAACGAATGGGTGACTGAGTGGGAGTACCTGCGTGCATTTCATTTAAGGGTGCTTGTGAACCGAATGTCCGGGGACGTGTGACCTCGGGAGAGGGCCCTATATCTCCCCCATTAGGGTTCTCCTCCACACACTCCCACTAGAACCTGCACTGACCCTGAGAGGGGGAGGGGCAGAGAGGCGCGGGCAGGGACAGTGAGGGTCCCAGGGCGAGCGTGGAAGGCGTCTAGACCTGCTGCCTTCGCTCCAGTCTGGGGCGGGGCTTCCCGGCCTCAGGAGTGGGGGGTGGGGAGGGAGGGACCCAAGAGGGAGGAACCCTCAGAGGGACACGAGGGGGGCAGGAGCTAGCGTATTAGATACCTGGGCTAGGGAAACTCAGAGAGTGAGGCGCAGCGGGAGGGGGCGGGTGTGGAGGCCAAGGCAAGACCCCGAGTACCGAGAGGCAGAGCCGGAGAAGCCCCTGGCCAGAGATCCCCTGGGAGACCTCCTGTAGGGACAGGGCAGAGAGAGGCCTCCAGGGGCAGAAACTTTGGGAGGCAAATACCCCTGGGAGATATTTCCCTGCTCCAGACGGAGAGTGCTGGCCAGAGTGGGAGAAGGATTCACGGTCAGAGGACAACGCCCCCCCAGGTCGCCTGGGAGACCCCGGAGCGACCCCGGGGGTGGCACAGGTCGAATGCGGGCCAGGGAGACCTCTCCTAGGTTGGGGGCGATGGGGACACGAGCCCCGCAGAGCCTCCTCCTTCTCCTCCTCTTCCTCCCCATGCTGCCGCCACGCGGGGCCTCCGCAGGGAGCCTGCATAGCCCAGGTAAGTCTTGGCCCCGTGACTGGGCTTTGGTCACCACTCCCTCCTCCGCCTCCGCGCCTAGGACCCGGGTCCCGAACCTGGGGAGGGGGCAGAGTAGGTGGCGGGAGCACCTGAGCAACCCCAGGGCCCCGGGGACACCAAGGGCACTGGCTGGGAAACCCGGCAGGAGTTGGAGTCGCGGGGTTAGGATGTCGGGCGAGGATCCGAACCTCCCAAGGTCCTGCGGTCGCCGTGCAGGCCTGTCCGAGTGCTTCCAGGTGAATGGCGCCGACTACCGGGGCCACCAGAACCGCACAGGCCCGCGCGGGGCGGGTCGCCCTTGCCTCTTCTGGGACCAGACGCAGCAACATAGCTACAGCAGCGCCAGAGACCCCCAGGGTCGCTGGGGGCTGGGAGCGCACAACTTCTGCCGGTGAGGGGCGGGGCCCGTGCGTGGTCTATTGGGGGACCGGCCTTTGGGGCGGGGCTTTGTTGGAGGCGGGGCTAGGTGCTCTATTGCAGTCATGGGCCTGAGGCAAGGGTTCCGGGTGAGTGGAGGTGTACCCCTACCGGGTGCAGCCGAAGGGTATGAGAACAAGCCTTAGCCCTTGCTGGGCTGGGCACTCAAGGGGCCCGTGTGGACCCGGCTAAAAAGATCTCTGAAGTGAGGGGCTGGGCTCTTGCCTTACAACTTCTTTGAGGGGCATTTACTAGCGGTATGGAGGAATTGGGGGTTCAGAGACACACCTGCTGTTTGGAGCAGCAGGGACCGAAATGAGTGGGAGGGCACTTTGCTGAAAGAAGTCACCAATGCTGCTTTAAAGCAGAGTTCTGAGGCGAGGCCCATGGCGGGGTGGGGGGCGAACACTACAGAGAATACTCAAAATCCTCAGCTGAATACAAACCCTTAGGTCCCTTTAATGACTTCCCACCGTCCACTTGGAAATCTACACCCAGAACGGAGAGTTGCTGTAGCACACGCAGTAGCCATTTTGCGAACAGGCCCTGAGGTGGGGCCTGGGATTTGCGGGTAGCAGAATCTGGACCACTTCTCCCCCGCCCGCAGGAACCCAGATGGTGATGTGCAGCCATGGTGCTATGTGGCCGAGACAGAGGAGGGCATCTATTGGCGCTACTGTGACATCCCCACGTGTCACAGTGAGTGGGCCCAGCTGGACAAGAGTGGGAACACTAGGCTGCCTGAGTGGAGTTCACTTTTGGAGGCACGGGACAGACCCTGACTCCCCTGCCTCCTCAGTGCCAGGGTACCTGGGCTGCTTCGTGGACTCGGGAGCACCTCCGGCCCTCAGCGGCCCCAGTGGCACCTCAACGAAGCTCACGGTCCAGGTGTGCCTTCGCTTCTGCCGCATGAAGGGCTACCAGGTACTGCCCACAGGCCCAGACCAGTGACCCCTGACCTTGACCGAAATCAGAACCGAAATAAACTCCCAACTCTGACACCAAACCTTGACACTGATCTCTGAACCTCCGTTTCGATTCCCACTTTCGAGCCCGACCCCTGGCTCCCACTACCCCACCCTTACCCCAGACCCTGCCCTTGGCGTCACCCAGTCTGTGCTCCCAGCTGGCGGGCGTGGAAGCTGGCTACGCCTGCTTTTGTGGCTCTGAAAGCGACTTGGCTCGGGGTCACCCGGCCCCAGCCACCGACTGTGACCAGATCTGCTTCGGCCACCCGGGGCAGCTGTGCGGTGGCGATGGGCGCCTGGGAGTCTACGAAGGTGAGGAGTGGGCGAAGATAAGGGGGTGAAGGATCGAAATGTGGGAAATGTGGGACGGGGAGGTCGTAGGCTGGGGACCGGCCGAGAAAGTTATTGAGTTGAGGGCGGGGTCTGAAGGGGACTGGGCTTAACCTGGGGGCCAAGGACGGGGTCTGGGGCTGAGACCTGGATTTGAGGAGGGAATCAATGTAAATTTATGGAAGGGGGGCCGGAGAATGTGCTTGGGTCAGCCTGGGGACTGGGCCTAGCTGGACAGAGGCGGGACTTTGGTTTGGAGCCCTGCTGGGTGAGGTGATGCCTGCCGGTCTCTGGATTCTGACCGCCGGTGCCGCCCACAGTGTCAGTGGGCTCCTGCCAGGGGAACTGGACCGCACCTCAGGGCGTCATCTACTCCCCGGATTTCCCGGACGAGTATGGGCCGGACCAGAACTGCAGCTGGGCACTTGGCCCGCCGGGTGCCGCTCTGGAGCTCACCTTCCGACTCTTTGAGCTGGCGGACCCGCGCGACCGGCTGGAGCTGCGCGACGCGGCCTCAGGCAGCCTGCTCCGCGCCTTCGACGGCGCCCGCCCGCCGCCGACCGGGACGCTGCACCTGCGCGCAGCTGCGCTGCTTCTCACCTTTCGCAGCGACGCGCGTGGCCATGCGCAGGGCTTCGCGCTCACCTACCGTGGTGAGGCCCCGCCCTATCCCCCCTCGGCCCACTCCCCAGCTACCCTGCCTCACACCCCTCTCTGCAGGTGTGCAGGACACCGTGGAGAACCCGGTGCTCCCCAAGGGCTCCGCCCAGACCCCTGCAGCGCTCCCCGACAGGACCAATGTGAGCTGTAGCCCCCGGCCTGGGGCTCCGGAGGCCGCAATGGGGGGTGAGGCAGGAGCTTGGGATGGAAGGGAATTTGGGGAGCAGGCCCTTTGGAGCCCTGTCCTCACTGTACCCGTGTGCCCACAGCCCGAGTCTTCTCGACTGTGATAGCCGTCTCAGTGATACTGCTGCTTCTGCTGCTGTTGCTGCTGATGTCGCTACTGCGCCTGCTGCGTCCACGGTGCGGGCGCTGGGGCAGGGCCTGAGGGTAGCCCAGCAGGGCAGCCCGGAGCCTGACGACTCGGTGCCCAGGGGTGTCGTGGGGGACGGGCTGGTGGGAAGCTGGGACCCAGGAAGGGAATAGAGGTGGAACTTCTAGGGTCTTAAAGGACAAGGCCTTGGGTTCACACAGGGAATCAAGCCTGGGATCACAGCTGAAGCAGGATGCGGGAGGTGAGACTGGCTGGGTATTAGGCTGACGTCTGCTCCCTCTCTAGGAGCTGTCTGCTGGCTCCAGGAAAAGGGCCCCCGCCGTTGAGGCCTTCCCAAGGCTCTGAGAGAAGCTGGGCCGTGTGGTACCGCCGTCCTGGAGGGGTGGCACTGCCCTGCTCCCCTGGAGACCCCCAGGCTGAAGGTCTAGCCTCCAATTATCGCCCCTTGAGCGCCTCCAGCCAGAGTTCCCTGCGTTCACTCATCTCTGCTCTCTGACTCAGGACCCCCAGGGTCCACTGGATCCTGTAACTGTGGGATGGCACCTGAGACGCTGTGCTGCACTCTACCTTGGCCTTCACTTTTAAAGGGCAGCTCTGCCTCTGGTCATCTCTCAGAGGCCAGACTTCTGACAGGAAGCATCTGGTACTATTATTGGGAACTTGGCCTGACTCTAGGTATCCAAATGGTGGAGGCCAAATGACAAGAGGAACTGGCTCCTCTCCTCATAGACCTTGATACGGAGGTGTGTGATTTCAAGGATCTTTGAGCCCCTCTTGGGGTGGTCCTGGACTACGCCCTAAGTGAAATGTGAGAGGACAACAAAAGTGGTCAAAGACCAGATACAGACTTTGAATAAAGGACCTATTTTGGTATAGGGCTCTGCAAATCTTTAAGTGGTGGTAAGTTATGTTGATGAGGATACTGAAGCCAAGGGTTGGTTTTGTCCATGCAAATTAAGGGCGTTACACGAAAAGGGCTGAGGAATCGCCCAGGCAGAAGGATGAGTGGGCGGGGTCCTGGAGAGAAAAAGGCCTGCTGTGAGCCAGATTAAGCGGAAGAAGGAATGCCTTCGTGGCCCACCTTTATTATGAACCCAAGCGGGGACTGACCCTTCTCCCCTAGCTACTTGTCCTCTTCCTCCCCTTCATTTCCTGCCTGCCTTGGGTGGGGCCAAAGATACACTTTGTGAGATATAACAGAGAGTTTGGTCGAGCTCAAACTCAAAGAAGCCTGACCCGAAGGGTGAGACGCCAGGAGTGTCAGGAACATCCACAGAGGCCTGGACATCTCAGCGTGCCTTGCTGCACTCCGGGGAAGCCGGGCCTGTGGAGAGGTGACCCCTGGAGTGGGGGTGTGCAGGCTCTAGACCTGACCGGTCCAAACGGCCCGGGTTGGCAGCACCTTGGACAGAGCCCGGGCTGCGAGGGTGGCGTTGGGTGTGGGGTTGTGCTGGGAAGGGTGGGTGCCCAAGGGTATGTTGACTTGGGGGTCGCACACAGAAAGCAGAGCATGCAATGAGGCGGGACGAGAGGCGCCCAGGTCACTCGGCAAAGCCACCGGGACCTAGAACATCGGGTTCCAAGCCACTCCATGCAAATAAGACCGGCACTGCATATATTATGCTAAGAGGGTGCTGGCCTGGGTGGCCTCGGGGCGGGGCCACCCCGTCAGCTGTTCCCATTGGTTCCCACAGCGTCTATGTCTGGAGCCCAGTGTGCAAATCGCTGGTGGGATGGCAGGGGTGGTTAGTTGGGGCGGAGCCTTGCGTCCCTTCCCGCGTCCGGCCGCACCCGTCCTCAGTGCCTCAGAAAGACTACTGGTCGCCGCTGCTGCCTCCTCGAACTGTCCCTGCGGCACTCCTGCACTGGCGGAACAGCCGCACTGAGCTCCAGCGGCCCGCGCATTCCCAGCCTCCGCCCTGGCGCGGGGGCGTAGGGCCCGCGCTTGCGCAGCGCAAGAGGGGCGCGAGCAGGGACCCCCCGGACCAGCGCGTGCGCGAACCGAGCATTGGACGGTGGGCAGGCGCAGGGATGAGCCTCTCTCCACTGCAGCCCCACTGAGGAGGCTGGGGCTTAAGAGCACGGGCTGCCCACGCCGGGCTGGGCCATGGCGTTCCTGGCCGGGCCGCGCCTTCTGGACTGGGCCAGCTCACCGCCGCACCTGCAGTTCAACAAGTTCGTGTTGACCGGCTACCGGCCAGCCAGCAGCGGCTCCGGCTGCCTGCGCAGCCTCTTCTACCTGCACAATGAGTTGGGCAACATCTACACGCATGGTGAGCTGCGCCCCACATCCCATACCCGTGGTAGCCCTGCCTGCGCCAGGCCCCTGGTCGAGGAGTGCCCCAGCGACCAGGTCCTGGGGCTGCCCTGGCCCTGGTATTGCCAGGAGCCACGGTGACAAAGCTGCCATTGTCCCGGACGGCAATGTCCGCTTCCGCTACCCCTACAGGGGCCCCCAGGGCAGGCAAGGGAAGCAGAGTCGGGGACCAAGTCTGCTTAATCCTTCTGAGCCACGGGGAGAAGCAGCCTGGTGTCCGGCCCCTTCGTAATCCTGTCCCCCTGCGTACCCCGCCCCCCCCCCCCCCCCCCAGCCAGCACCCATCTGGGACCTGGGTGTTGACTTGGCCCAGAAGGGTTCCAGGAGCAAAAGCCAGGCCCGAGCCCCTCCCTGTCCGGAGCAGCACAGTCTTGGGGCTCCGCCTGGTGGAGACACTCCCCACCCCCACCCCGCCCCACAGGCGCCGGGCCCCTCCTCCACAGCTCTCTGGAGCTGTGCTGACACAGCCCTGTCCGTCCTTGGCCTGCCCTGGCCAAGAGAGGGCCCCTGAGAAGGCTAGGCCCAGCCTTAGTACCTACCCTACTAGGGGACTGTGGCCTGGCTAGACCCTGCTGAAAGTGGGCAGCCAGCAGCGCCAGCCTGTAGTGCCCACCTTTGACCCCTTTGAGGGCAATGTCAGAGTGCCAGCAGGGCGAGGTAGGATGCCTGGGCTGGGAGGAATTGCACTCTCAGAGCAGGTGTCTGGGGAGATGGAACAAGCTTCTTTCTGTTCCCTTGCCTTGCCTTGCCTAGCCCCTTTTGGAAAATAGAAGGGCCCAAAGCCTTCAATTGTCTGGTCACTTATGGAAAAGAGAGGACACGGGGTTGGGAGGAACAAGCTAAGTTGCCCTGGGATCTGCTATCATTGCCTACATGTCCTTTTCAGAACTCAGCTTGAGTCATGTCTCCTCCATGTTTCTGTGACACATGGAGGCCAGATTTGGGGTTTGGGGTCCCTTGCTTTCTGTGGATGTTAAGTCATATGGCTGCAGGGGTGACAGCAGCTTGGGAGTTAGACTGCCTGGGTTCTCTCCTACTTGCCGGAGTCACCTGGGACAGGTTACTCAGTTTATTCACCTGCAAAGTGGGGATAACGATCTCTTCTACTTCCAGAACTATTGTGAGCCTGCTGAGTAAGTAAAGTTCCTGAAGGCCTTCCTCTGTCTCAGGTCTGGCGATAGCTGTCTATCACTGTTGTCAAGACCTGTCTTGCTCTCATTCCTCTCATGTTATCTCTAGACTGTGGACTCCTTGAGGACATGACCTGTCCTCTGTGCTGAAGCTGTGTGATGGATAACTGTTTCCCTCCCCCAGGGCTGGCCCTGCTGGGCTTCCTGGTGCTGCTGCCAATGACCATGCCCTGGGGTCAGCTGGGCAAGGATGGCTGGCTGGGAGGCACACACTGTGTGGCCTGCCTGGCACCACCTGCAGGCTCTGTGCTCTACCATCTCTTCATGTGCCACCAAGGGGGCAGCCCTGTGTACACTCGGCTCCTTGCCCTGGATATGTGTGGGGTCTGCCTCGTCAACACCCTCGGTGAGCCAAAGGATGGGGTGGGGAGCTAGAAGAATGGAAGCTGGGGGGGCAACTGGGGAGGGGGAAGCAGGGGACACTCACATGAGTCCTGGGTAGAAAGGGCAGGCAGACCCCAAACTGATGTGCCCTCTCCTGCCTTTCTCCTCTGTGCAGGGGCCCTGCCCATCATCCACTGCACCCTGGCCTGCAGGCCCTGGCTGCGCCCAGCTGCTCTGGTGGGCTACACCATGCTGTCAGGTGTGGCTGGCTGGAGGGCCCTCACCGCCCCCTCCACCAGTGCCCGACTCCGAGCTTTTGGTTGGCAGGCTGGTGCCCGCCTCCTGGTGTTTGGGGCCCGGGGAGTGGGACTGGGCTCTGGAGCTCCAGGCTCCCTGCCCTGCTACCTTCGCATGGATGCCCTAGCACTGCTTGGGGGACTAGTGAATGTGGCCCGTCTGCCAGAACGCTGGGGACCAGGCCGCTTCGACTACTGGGGCAACTCACACCAGATCATGCACCTGCTCAGTGTGGGCTCCATCCTGCAGCTGCACGCTGGTGTTGTGCCTGACCTGCTCTGGGCCGCCCACCACGCCTGTCCCCTGGACTGAGCCACCGCCCACACATCATGCCAGCCTGCCCAGTCTTCTAGGGCCAACACCAGTCTTCCTTCCTTCTGCTGATCTGCAAGGGACTGGCTCCCTGGATGCCTCCCAGCTGGGAGCCCTTGTCTGTTTACCCATTCTTCCCTGTGGATGAGCCTCTCCTCCCACCCACACCTCAGAGCTCCAGCTTCTTTCCCTGCCTTCATCCAGGGCACTGTCGTCCTGTGCAGGCTAGAAGGAAACTGGTCCTTCTCTGGGCCTCAGTTTACCCTCTGTGACCTGTGAGGGTTGGGCCAGAGGGACGCTGGTGTTAGTCTTGCTCTGACGGCTAGAGTCCTGCCAGCCCAGAGCCGTAGCCCCACCCTGCCCTTCCTCGGACCCTCATGTAAGGTACCTTGTGGGTGGCTGGCCTGGCCACCAGCCCATGTTTCCTGACCTTCATCTTCTGGCCCTGCATGCCAGCTCTCCCAGCACCTGAGGCTCACCCACCTCTTTTCCCTTCTATACAGACTGGAGTGAGAGGTTTGGGCAGCAGGACTATCCCCTTATTCTAGGACCATGGGGCAGAAGGACTGCTGCTGCTTTTTCCAGGCAACTGGCACAGATGTAAAGAGCTGAGTGGCCCTGGACCACTGGGCTGGGGGCCCACCCTCCACCTTGAGTGCCATGTTCTGACGGCTCAACCTGCCACCGGGGACATGCCTGCTCAGGAAATCTCTGTTCCACACAGCATGGGGCTCCCAGCTGTAATCTGTTGGCCTGGGCCCTGCAGCAGGGCTCAGCCTCAGCCCATCCCAGGGCCCTCAGATCCTGGGCGACGTCAATAAAGTGGGCAGGAAGTACTGTGTTGCCATGCAAGCAAGCTTGGGTACTCCCAAGACTCAGATACTTTTTATTACATGGCCAGTCAGAAGCGACTACGGGAGTTCCCAGAGGGACCCCAGCCTCCAGGAGGATGGGGAAGGAGCTAAAAGGTTAAAAGAACCAAAGCTGAAATGGGCTCAGGTTGGGCCCAGTGAGTCCTCAAATAGGCTGAGAAGGTTCCGAGGCTCAAAGGAAGGGAAAGAGCCCTGAGGGGGCTCACAGTCAATGTCACTTAGGTCCAGGGAATCCCTGGGGAAAAAGAGAGACAAATGACACTCAGGATTCAAAAGGACTCCCCCCACTCCCTACCTCTGACCCTGGGCCTACTCACCTCAGTGTGTGCCTGCTCTGGGGGGTTGAGGAGGTGCTCCTGGCAGCCCTGGCCAGGATGGCCTCTGGAGAGAGCGAGGGCCTGCACGGGGTGGGTGAAACAAGCAGGGTGTCAAGTGGTGGGGAGTGCACGGGGAGGAGGCTTGGGGACAACAAGATCCACCTTGACCGTGTGCAGTCTCCTGCTGGACACAGGCAGGGGCCACAGTTGAGGACAATGAAAGGATGATGCCCTTTGAAAAAATCACTTTCACAACTTTTAGTCTACCTGATCACACTCAAAGGCAACCTCTGTCCCTTTTCAGAACACCTGGGCTTCAGATGAGCTGGCTTTGAAGTGAACCTGTAGTAAATGAAGCTTATCTTATCTCACACTTCACATCTGCTTTTAGGTGTCCCTATGACAACAGGGTGACATTTTTTTTTTCCTCTCTCTTTTTTTTTAAATCCTCACCTGAGGATGTTTTTTATTTACTTTTTGGAGAGAGAGGGAGAGAGAACATGGGTGTGAGACAGAAACATCGATCGGTTACCTCCCATACACATCCCAGCTGTGGATCAAACCCGCAACCTATGTATGTGCCCTGACTGGGAATTGAACCTGCAACTGTTTGGTGCACAGGACAATGCTCCAACCAACTAAGTCACTCAGCAGGTCAACACTGGGGTAACATTTTTGTAAAGAAGGGGTTAATGGTGTGATTTCTCCTGAGAACTGTCTGCCCTGAGCATGTGGTTTTCCTTTGCCACAGTTTCTTAATTACAGCTTCTTACTTGGCCATCAGGCACCTAGGACTAAGGAATTCTTCCCAGGATTGGGGCTTGCCAGGCTCTGGGAACTTTGTCCCCTGAAAAGGACAATGCCTCGTTCCTGGGCACTGACAGCCTTGACTGGGGTTGGGGCTACACCGTCTAGCTCTCCCTAGTGTGGCAGCACCCTAAGTGTGAAGGTGCCAGTTCTACTGTACTCTGCAAAGCAGCCATTCCACACTCTGAGCTTAGAAGAAACAGCTGCATTCAAACCAGGCTGCACTCCCACCAGCCTTGGTGCCCTTCCCAGGGTATGATGGGGGCCAGGTTTGTGGGAGGGGGTCCCTGTTCATCACTAATCCCCATGGAGCCTGGCCTCTGTATGGGGTTTGGCCATGCTAACAGCACATCTCCCTACTCCCACCCATCCGTCTTGAGCTCTCACCCTATGCTGTCGTCATCCCAGTTGCTGGAGTGGCTGCTGTCCAGGAGGAAGCTGCAGGGCGGTGAGCCAGGCGGGGTGGCCGGAGGGCTCGGGGGCTGCAGCCAGCTGGCAGGGTGAGCCAGCCCATGCCAGAGCCAGCACAACAGGGCAAGCAGGGCCTGTGGGGAAAGGGGCCCAGGGAGGCTAGGCAGAACTCAGGGCCAGGGAGCAGGGTAGACCAGCCTGTTACCTTTACTAGGCTTACCTGCCACAGGGCCCACCCTCGACTCAGGGCTTCAGCAGCCATGTACCACAGGACACTCCAGGGCTGTGGCTGCCTGAGCATAGGCAGGGCCAGCAGGGCCTCGGCTGTGGCCCGCAGCTTGGGATCAGGCTCCAGCATCATGATGAGGACAGACCGTAGCTCAGAAGACAGGCCTGTCCACAGGGCAGGGCTACGTCAAGGATGACTGGGCCCTGAGCCCAGTAGTCTCCCGTAGCCAGCCATTCTCTCCCACTGAGTCTGTAGCACCATGTTCCCTCCCATCCTTGTCTTCCACTCACCAGCAGTGAACTCGGGGGGCAGGTAGCCCTGGCGCAGCTGCTGCCAGCCTTCTCCGCCATGGGGCAGCTCCATGTTGCATGCCACTTCCAGGATGGTGAGACCCAGACTGGGGGAGAGGACAGTGATAGGGACAGAAGACAGGCAAGGTTAGCCTTGGGCCACAGATCTCAGAGCCCCAGGATGTCCCTGAGGGTGGGAAGGAGGGGCTGGGCGAAGGGGGTCTAAAAAGGCCTCAGCAGGGCTAATGAGGGGAACATGTCACGAAGCATGGACCCAGTGCCCAGCGCGAGGCACAAACTACTATGGTGAGTCCTCCTGGTACCCCTACTAGATAGACACTATGGTTATAAGTGTTACTACCAGGGTCCTGTGGATATAACTGGACAGACCATTAGAGGCAGAGCAATGGTTACCAGCATGGACCATGGAACACAATGCCTTGTTCAGTCCCAGCTTCACCACCTGCTAACTGTGGACTATGGGCAAGTCCCTTAACCCCACTGTGCCCATTTCCCTATAAAAGGAATAATAATAGTTCCTTGTGGAGATGTGGTAAAGAGATGGATAGAGCTAGTCAAGCAGCTTCAGATGATTCGCTGCTTAGACAGCCTGACTCTGTAGACCACCCTCAGCTATAGGATACGGCCTTCACCCCCTCAGGGCACTGTCTCCCAGCCTGAGGCCAAATCTTCCTGACTTTGGGCTAGGATGGCATTTCCCTCCCTCTGCTGACTGCACCCCCGCCAGGAAGGGCCTCCTATGGCCCAGCCCTTACCTGAACACATCGGCTGCTGTCCCATAGGAGCCCTGCAGTAGCTCGGGGGCCATGTATCGGGGGTCTCCCTCCTGTGCCTCACCAGCTCCAGATGCATCCAGCTCCACCAGCAGCCCAAAGTCACCCAGTTTGCAGCGGCCCCGGGGCCCCAGGAAGATGTTGGCAGGCTTGATGTCAAGGTGAACCAGGCCTTGGCCATGCAGGTGGGCCAGAGCGAGGAGGGTATCCCGTAGGTAGCCCCAGACCTGGGCCTCAGGCAGGCTAGTACCCCAGGTTTCACAGTGCTGCTGCAGGCTGGGCCCACACAGCTCTGTCTGCAGGTACAGGATGCCGCCCTCCTCCCAGGCTCGCTCCAGCCTCACACAGCATGGGTGCTGCCCCACTTTCTCATGGCCGCTGACCTCAGCCAGCTTTCGGGCCCGGTCCTTGGGGCCCCGGAATGGTGACATGGAGCGCTTTATTGCATAGAGCTGGCCATCTTCCTTGGAGCGCACCTGGAAGGGAGACAGTGCCCACAGGTGGGGTGGGAGGTAACATAACCAGTTAGCAGAACAATACAGCATATTCTATTAAGATTTCACATGTATGGAAGGTGCAGCATGGCATCTTCTTTAGAGACCCCTGCACACACAATAGCAAGACCAGAGAGACCAACCTCCACCCCGGGCACTGGTTCACTGGAGGCCCAAGGAAGAGATAGGGCAGACCTTAATACTAACCTGGATGGTCTCTCAGACTATTGTGAAGCTTAAAAAGCTGGCTACAGAACAATACAGGCAATGTGATCCACTGTGTAGAATATTAATGGGTTTGTCTCTATATGGTCAATTCTAGAGATGTATAGAGAAAATTCTGGAAGGAAGGATGACCACCTGAGAAGCCCAGTGGTTTCCTCTTGGAAGAAGAGCTAATCTAGGGGCCCATGTTGTTTGTAGTACTTGTGTAAGAAAAAATACCATTTTAAAGGAAATATAAATTATTGGAAAATGTATTTTAAGAAAAAAAGGCGGTGTACAGGATATAGTCTAAGTGTCTGGGGCGTGGGAGGTGGCAGGGGGCAGGGTTACGCACTGCATTCTGGGGGCCAGGCAGAGCTTGCCAAGAACCCCAGCACAGCTGGCTCCAGGGTGGGAGGAGATGGTAGCTGGGAGCCACTGCCAGGTGTGCCAGGCTCTGGACAAGGGGAGAGTGTAACTGATGAGGCCCTCGAAGGGGTCTGTGTTGGGGGGTTATGAGAAAGAAGCCAAATCAAACACTGAGGAGGGGTGTCTGTCAGCCCAGGAGAGATGGGCTATCGAAAGAAGGGGAACAGGCTGCCCAGGATACTATCCCATCTAGGTAGGGGGAGGGAGGCAAGGGGGCTCCTCCAGACAGGCCTATAGAGCTGTCAATCCACTTACCTTGAAGACCTCTCCATAAGAGCCATGACCCAGGCGGCCAAGTCTCTGGAAATTCTGCTGGAAGAAGGACTCTGGCCGGCTTGGGTCATAACCAGGGCTCTGCAGGGTCTCAGAGGCTTTGTCTTGAAATGACACCCTCCGGGGTTGGGGCTGGTGCCAGCCTGGGGTCCGAGGAGGAAAGAGGCGACTGATGGGGATACTGCCCTTGGCAGGGGGTCGGGGGGGAAGGCTCCTACTAAGCCCCCTGGGCCTCTTGAGGGAAAAACCAGGTTCTGCATGGCGGAAGTAGGCTGGGACTGGGGTGGGGGTACCACTCAGAGGTGGTGGGGTATCCTCTGTGGGCACAGGCATGACCAGCACAGGAGGCCCTGAGAGGCTGAGTACAAAAAAGTGTGTCCACTCAAACAGCTCCTTGTCCTGTGACCCCAGAGAGGCTGTGGAAGAAAGCCACGTCTACTCCGTACACATGTTCTGCTTTAAACATGGAGGCCGTGGAGACATGAGCACCTGCTGGGAAAAAGCAAAGGACATATAAACACCTGTACAGTTGTCTGTACCTGGAGATCATAGAAACATAAACTGAAATGCATGGGGCCATGTCCCAGAGGCTCCCACAGTTGAGCAGAGGTTAAACCAAGGCGGGTTCTCGAGCCAGACCTCCTGTGCATACATCCCTGCCTTGTCACAACTGCTATTTGACCTTAAGATATGCAATCTCTTCCAAGACTGTAAGGGGGAAATATTCACACAGGCCCCCACTCCCTTATCTCCAATTCCAAAGTAAAAAAAAAGTCTGATTCCAAAGTTTCTTGCTTTCTTTTTCATAATTGTGATACTAAAACTCATGTAGTGGAGTTCCACTTTCAACTCCATGTTGCAGAGGCTAAATTTCAGATGGATGTAGCAGAGAGGCCACCAGCCCCTGCTCGTAAGACAGAAGCTCTGCCTTAGGTTCAGCAGGCTAGGAATACTGCAGCCCAATCGCTCAAGCCCCAGCTCATTCCTAGGAAGGAAGTCCACACTGAGAGAGGCAAGCTGAGAAGGCCAGAGGCTGCCACCCCCACCCTAGCTCTGCAGTGTAACTCAGGGACATGGGCATAACTGTCCCAGCCCTCAACTCCAGAGCTCAAAGATTCTGCCTGGGGGAGAGGCAGGTTATAAAACAAAGAGCTCTGAAGCTCTCCTTGCACAAAAAAAAAAAAAAAAAAAAAAAAAGACTTTATTTGAAACAATATGGGAAGTTCAAGTTTAGAGGTGCTCTCAAAAGGCAATCAAGCCCTGGCTGGTTTGGCTCAGTGGTTGGAGTGTCAGCCTGCGGACCAGAGAGTCCCGGGTTCAGTTCCCTCTAGGAGCACATACCAAAAAAAAAAAAAAGGCAATCAAGGTTCGGGTGGTAAGCAAATAGGAGGAGACCGGTGCCTCCATTATCACAACAAGATAAACCATGGACCAGCTAGTTTACCAGAGAGAACCAGGTAAAGCGATAGATAAAAAGAGCCTTCCTGGATCAGAACAAACCTCAAACACTGAATTCAAAAGCTACCCTGGAGTAATTGATGCTCCAGAACAAAAATAATAGAGAAAATAGTGGCAACTGGGGGACCCTAACAGGTGGATATGATCAGGGAAAGCACAAAGAGAGCCCCATTTGAAATCCAATCCAGGCGTCCCTGTACACATGTCCCAGGGTGGGCTCTCTCAGGAGCAATGTCAGAAACTTCATACTGCGAAAAGAGATGTCACTACAATGGTCCAGCAAATCACTAAACAAGCAGATAAGCAAAAAAGAATCACAAGCCCTGGTGGGGGGCGGGTGAGGAACTAGTATACACAGTTCTTAAAATATATGTCCAGTTTCTGACAAAAAATTACAAGATGTGCAAAGACACAGGAAAGTGTGACCCACACACAGGAAAATAAAGAAATAGCCCTGGCTGGTATTAGCTCAGTTGGTTGAACATTGTCCCATGCACCTAGAGTTCGCTGGTTTGATTCCTGGTCAGGACACATGCCCAGGTTGCAGGCTCAATCCCTAGTAGAGAATGTGCAGGAGGCAGCTGATTGATGATTCCTTTTTTTTAAATCCTCACCCAAGGATACTTTTTCATTTATCTTCAGATAGAGTGGGGGAGAGGGAGAGAAACATTGCTACAAGAGGGACACATTGACTGGTTGCCTCCTGCAGGACCCCAACCAGGGCTGGGGACGAACTGCAACTGAGGTATGTGCCCTTGGTTCACGGGCCGACACTTTAATTGATGAGCCAAACGGGCCAGGGCTGATGATTCTTTTTTTTGGTATGCACCCCTAGCAGGAACCGAACCCGGGACTCTCTGGTCCGCAGACCAACGCTCCAACCGCGGAGCCAAACTGGCCAGGGCCTGATGATTCTTTCACTGACGTTTCTCTCCCTCTCCCTTTTTCTCTCTCTCTAAAAAAATCAATAAAAACATATTTAAAAAAAATAAAATAAAATAACAGACAGCCCTGGCCAGGTATAAAGCATCATCCTGATATGCCAAAGTTACAAGTTTGATCCCCAGTCAGGGCACATACAAGAAACAACCAATAAATGTGTAAATAAGTTGAACAATAAATTGATATTGTCCATTTCTCTTTCTGTCTTTCTAAGATCAATAAATAAAATACTTTTTAAAAATACATTTTTTTTTATTCCTTACCCGAGGATATTTTTCTACTTATTATCAGATAGAGTGGGAGGGAGGGAGGGAGGGAGGGAGAGAGAGAGACAAAGAGAAATATCAATGTGATAGAGCCACATTGACTGGTTGTCTCCCTCACAACCCAACCACGGCCAGGGACGAATCACAACCCAAGTATGTGCCCTTGACTGGAATCGAACCCACAACTCATTTGGCTCTAACTGCTGAGCCAAACTGGCCAGGGCAAAAATAAAAATATTTTAAAAAGAATGAATAAAAATAACAAGCAACAGAAAATGCTTGTAAGAGGAACCAAATGTCAGATTTAACAGAGAAAGACTTCAAAGTAGCCACTATAAATATGTTCAAAAAACTAAAGAAAACCATGCTTCAAGTAAAGGAAGCATGATGCCAACATCTCATCAAATAGGGAATATTAATGGTAAGATAGAATTTACTAAAAGAATAAATGGAAATTGTAGAGTTGAAAAGTACAATAACTGAAATGAAATATCACTGGAGGGGTTAAACAGTAAATTTGAACTGGCAGAAGAAATAATTAGTGAATGTGAAGACAAATCAATATACATTATACAATCTAAAGCACAGAGAGAAAAAAGAAGTGAAAGGAACAGAGCCTCAGAGAAATGTAGGACACCATTAAGTATACCAACATAGGCATAATAAGTGCACCAGGAGAGAAGAGAAGGAACAGAAAAAATAGGCTAAGAAGTAATAGATAAAAACTTCCCAAGTGTGATTTAGAAAAACATTCACAGAGCCAAGAAGCTCAATAAACTTCAAGTAGAGATAAACGCAGAGATCCACACATAGACACATTATACTAAAAGTGCTGAAAACCAAAACAAGGAGTCTTGAGAGCAACAAGAGAAAAATGACTCATCACTTACAAGTTTCCCCATAAGATTAACTACTGACTTCTCATCAGAAATAGTGGAGGCCAGAAGGCAACAGGATGACGTATTCAAAATGCTAGGGGGAATCTGTCAACCAAGAATCCTATATCCAACAAAACCATCTTTCAAAAATAAAGGCAAAATAAAGACATTCCCAGATAAACAAAAACAGAAAGAATTCATTGCCAACAGACCTGCTTTACAAGAAAAACTTAAGAAAATTCTTCAGGCTGAAAGCATGTGATACCAAACAATAATTCTAACCTACATGAAAAAAAAAAAAAGAGCCCCAGTTAAGGTAATTATGTAATATAAAACACAGTATAAATGTATATTTCTTCTTTCTTCTCTTAACTAATTTAAAAAGCAATTGTAGCCCTGGCTGGTGTAGCTTAGTTGGTTGAGCATCCTCGATTGCATCAAAAGGTTGCTGCTTCAATTCCTGGTCAGGGCACATATCCTGGATTGTGGGCTCCATCCCCAGTAGGGGGCATGCAAGAGGAGCAGATTGATGTTTCTCACATCAATGTTTCTCTCTCTCCACCCCTCCCCCTTCCTCTCTCTTTAAAATCAATAAAAACATTTTAAAAAGCAATTGTATAAAACAATATGTAATTGTATTGTTGGGCATATAACATAAAGAAGTGTGATATACTTGCAAATAACAACACAAAGGAGGTGGGAAGAAACAAAACTGTACTGGAATAGAAAATGACACCAAGTGTTAACTTGAACCTACAAGAACAAATGAAGAGAACCAGATGTAGTAAATAAGACTGTCAATATAACAAACATTATGCATATATACTTTCTTCCCTCAGCTTCTTTTTTTTTTTATCCTTACCCGAGGACATTTTTCGACATTTTGTTCAGATATAGTGAGAGGGAGAGAGAGAGAGAGAAACATCGATGTGAAAGCGACACATCGAGTGGTTGACACCCACACGACCCAACCAGGGCTGGGGACAAACTGCAACCAAGGTACGTGCCCTTAGCGGGAACCGAACCCGGGTCTCTCCGGACCGCAGGCCGACGCTCTAACCGCTGAGCCAAACCGGCCAGGGCTTCCCTCAGCTTCTTTAGGAAATTAAAGACAACCTAAATACAGGGTTGGGCAAAAGTAGTTTTACAGTTGTGAGTATGCGAAAGTTTATTCTTGTATTATTATTTATGAATTATTGTATTATTTTCTATATGGACAACCGTAATCCTACTTTTGCTCCAGCCTGTAAATGGAAAGATATTAAATGTTCATATATCCAAAGATTTAATATGGATAAAATGGCAATACTCTCCAAATTGATCTACAGATTCAGCAAAAATCCTATCAGAATCCCAGCTGGATTCTTTGTAGAAATTGACAAGTTGATCCTAAAATTTATATGGAAATTCACCAGACTCAGAATAGTCAAAATAATCAAAATGAAGTTGGACGATTCATACTTCCCGATTTCAAAACTTACTACAAAGCTACAGTAATCAAAACAGTATGGTATTTACTTAAGAATAGACATATAGATCAATGGAATAGAACTGAAAATTCAGAAACAAATCCTCATATTTATGATTTTGACAAAGGTACCAAAACAATTCAGTGGGAAAGAACAGTCTTCTCAACCAATGAGACAACTGGATATCTACATGTAAAATTCATTTGGCAGAAAAATCTAGTGTGACTTATTTTTTCCCCTCTAAGTGTGAATATTCATATATTTCTCGACAAAAATATCAATGTGTTTGATTAATGGATGATGTCCCAGACCCATGGTTGGTGTTACACATAAATGTTATATGCACCCTGTTAGCTTTCTAAAGTCTGACATTTTGAATTCCAAAACACACCTGGCTTCAGGGATTTGTAGACCTGTAATATTAACTTCAG